TACTTAGGAATTAACTCATATTCATACTTTCTCCTACACACTATCAGGGGGCAAAAAAGGAACACATGTACACGTCCAAACGGTCGGTTAGGATCATTTTCCATTCAGCTCCAGCTCATTTTGAATGCAGAATGCGAGCAAACATGAAAGGAAGAAAGAGACAGACTAGAAGCGCTTATACAACGATAAGAGATTACAACTTTGAACACTTGACACAGATAATATCCGATAAATCAACACCACCCTTCAACGCAGTTGATAAATTAAGAGATACCGACTCTGGAACCACAGTGAGACAAAGATCTTTAGGGGATTCCCCTATAGTTTCTGAACAAGCATTACACACTATATATTGCATATTGCAAATGCAATACGATTTGATCTGTACGTAAAAGTAGGTACCTTCTGGAGGCTGGACAAGCTTCCGGTTATGTGGAGCTGCCATCTCCTTCTTCAGCTGGGGTCAGTATATCCTCCATGGTGTACTCTCGTTGCCAGTTTCCAGAAGACCAAATTTCTTTGGTTCAACCTGATTCAATCACAGCTGGTAAAATCTTGGTGCAGAAGTAATTTGTCATCAAGTTTGCGAAATGAATAGCAGTTTCACTAAAGCATGCGCCTGCCTAAATATATGAGCGGAAAGCATATAAATAAATGATAAAATAGATAACGATACCATAATAATATAATCAATAGATGAATATATGATCACGCAATGATTACACAAGATTGATGCGCGAATGAAACGAACACTGGGGGGCTTCTCTGGGTAATCTTTATCACAGAAGAGCTTCAATTGATAAATTCTTCCTTCATGTACGGTCTGACAAAGGGGGAAAACATATACTGAATCTTTAAGCAGCATCTTAATTACAAATAAAACAAAAGACATGCACAAAATCCAAAAAATATATAGCAGGTCCAAATTCATATAAGGGCAGATCCACTATTCAAACTCAGACTTATTCATAGCTCGTGCGAAAATGCTACACTGCCAAAGATTCAAACAGGCAATAGAGTGACCATCCATGGAAGACAGCTTCAACTTCATGCTATGAAGCTAAAAGCGCTTACATTGAAAGCAAAATATAATTATAGAAGTGTATAAGCTCGCCAGCTGCAATTTATTTCCAGCCAATATTATGGATGCTAGAGGTGAAATTTTGCAGCCGTAAGCTATATTGGCCTAGATTCTTCTGTGCATAAACTTACCAACTGTAAACTATATGTAGTGTGTGCACATATATGCGTAAGTTTATGCACACGTCCATCTAACTCAACTCTTTAAACTGACAAAGTAATCAGAAGAGTTAAGCTCATGCGTACATTAACAGTATGTGCGAGGAAGCCACAAAACACATCCATGAAATTAGGACCTCAGTTCTAGAATGCAGATTTTCTGAATGAGCATGGAACCATTCACCCCATGAACATTAAATTGTTTAAATTAGAAAAAGGGAATCAGACTTCACAAGCTCACACGTAAGAATAAATATAAGGGTGTGACATGAGTATTTACGTTATGGGGACCAATAATGGTGCCGGTCCAAGCGCATGTAAATGTCATCACCATCATCCATTCCATAACTCACTGTGCCATCTCCAATACCTTTTTCTCCCCTTCCAGCTCCTCCAGCAATCTGAAATTTCTTGGTACTGCATTGAGATGGCAAGGATTCAACAACACAAACTTAACATGTAGCTAGAAATCACATAATGATTTTCACACATACGAACACTGCCAAACATAAGATTCGACGCATGTTATTATGTTGGATAATGAAGGCAAGAAAATTGGAGTATACACCCTTTGTTCAGGTTTTAATACCCAAAACAAAAAAAGGCCCCTCCAAATGATTTATAGAGCAACAACCAGTAATGTTCAATGGCGTGCTTAAATTATTCCAAGTACGTTTTCTGATATTCATGATAGATTATTACCCTCACCCAGCATATATAGCATTAAAGAATTGTTTCCCAGCAAATCCCACCACTCACCAAGGTGACAAAATATATACTCCGGTGATCCAGTGCCTTTTCATTAATTAAATGTTTGCATGGATAAGATAATAAGAATGAAGACCATTCAAGTGTCTTCATTTCTAAACGAAAGGCGAGCAAGATGTTTGGCTAAGGCAGGATTTGAAGAGATTTTGAACAAGATTGCCTTTCTTTCTTTTTCGGTGTTTTTTTGTTGGGAGGGTGTTCTAACGCCTCGAGAGAATACAAAGAAGATTGCCTTTTCAATTTTACGTTCAAGCGCATGGTGCTAGGGAAAGGGCAGAGCCAAGCAGTGGTCATTACTTCGACGCATCCCTGCCGTGCCATGAACTCAGCAAGTGATGAGTATAAACATCAAACTGGCGCGTATACTCTGAGGGTGAGATATGCAAGCCAGAGGAACATCCAGAACCATCAAGTCCAATATTAAAAGTCTTGAGGAATGGCTGTGCATTATTATCGCATATAACCAGGCAATGAACTGGTAATTGATGCATTCATAAAATACAAACAAAATTTTTGCATAATTCATCAGTCACAATAACCCAGGCTAAAGACTGTAGTTATCAAATCAAAATTAAAGGTTATCTCCATGATCGAGGTGAAAAGAAAACTGGGAAAACTGGGCAAGGATGAGATGGATAAACGGAGAGGGCAGAGAGAAAATAAGAAAGCATGAAAACAATAGTAAATGAGAGTGTTTAATGTCAGCGGCAACAAGTGATGAACGGAATACGTCTACGAGAAAATAATTGAAAAGAAAACAAGAAACGGGAAAAAAATGATAAGGATAAAAAGCATATTAGAACAAGATCTTAGGTCTGCAACTCACCCACCACACTCGATCCTGCTGAGCCAAGCGTCATAGATACCTAGCAGATATTTTCCTGCAGTGGATGTCGGGGATCTGATCAAACTATCAGAATTCCTTAAAGGATAGAGCAGAGATATGAGAGGAGGTCGAGGTTGTGGCGAAGAAGAATCAGCCCGGAGAAAAGCTACGACGGCAATTACGGGAATAAAAGAAAATGAGGGTAATGGGGGTTTGCACGAGTAAACGGGTAATAATTGGAATTTCAGAGTACGAGTGGACTTGAGCGAGCGACCCATGTTGGGCTTTGGCCCATTTTTTTGTGCCGTCTACCGTTTGTTTCCCACTCGAATATCAACTAGCATGTTGAGCTGCCAACGGGAACGGAAGTTGGATTTAATAAAAAAGGTTAACGATGAATCAATGTTCAAATATTTGTTAGAAAAATATTCTTACTGTAAATATTCATACATGACAGTAACTCGAATAAAACTGACATTAATAAAATGATACCTATGCATAGTAAATAAAAAAACTATCATTTTGAGACTCGATAATCAATATTAATTTTCATATAAAAATGTAAATTTATATCAATAAATACTGATCCAATTGGTGAAAAATTAGTAACTCATGAATCACAAAGTTATGTGTTCAGACCTTGTTGCTACTCCTTAAGCCTTGAGACTCTCAAAATCCAACTCATTAGGATTTTATTGGGACCAGGGTTGAAAAATGTTTAAATTTTTAGTAACTCTGCGGAAGCACTAAAACTTGTTCATGGTGCGTAACTGTGTTATGGCTAGATTGTCACTTTTAATTATGTGTTTAAGGAGATGGTTGTGATGATTGACTTGCTCGTTAATTATTTTGTAGGTATTAAAGCCATGTTTTTTTACCCTCCCCTCCCGAATTATTTAAGAATTTCCTTTCAAATGATCTGTGAAATGATGGTCTAATTGCAACCATTTGCTAAAAATATGGTCGCGGGCTCTCTCGGGCCATAACTCGCGGTTTCTGAACCCGCAACAATAAAGCTCAAAATCCACAAAACTTGTGTGTTATTTTCTTCCTGGTTTAAAGTCGGCAAAGTTCAAAACTAGGACTTGCTTCTTCTTGTTTTTTTTTTTTCTGGTGAAACTATAATCGTCAACAAGTCAATACAAAACAGCAGCAGCAGGGCTAATTTTCATCATCAACCTCCTCCTCTTTCTGCATAAGAGGTAGAGATTAATCAAAAATACAAAAACTATCCGCCATAATAGAACCTGCCTTTCAAATTTAGCAAACTCATCAATATTTTTTTGTGGGCGGCACAAAATACTAACATTATCAACATCATTATTAACATATCAATATAAAGCTGCAAATCACTCAATACCTCCTGGTGAAAAAAAAAAATCACTCAATATCCAGATTCAATATAAAATGGACAGCAAGACGCAATACTTACACGCAACACACTATTTTTTGACTCTGTTAATAAATGACTACCCTCCAGTCAACGCCGACGTCAGTATAGTTAACAGAGTAACAAGAAATAGCTCATATTTCAACCACATGCAATTGAGCGATGCCTATCTAATCAGATACCAAAACATTACTTAATATAAGATTTTATTTAAATTTTATTTTGATCATAAACACAAGACCACTATTTATTTTTCTATCATATTTATGCATTTTCTCAAGTAGTTATTCTAACAATGGTAATTCTAACCAATACACTTGATTAGTAATGATGTCTTAAAAAAAATAATACCTATTTATTATAAATAACTAACTTAAAATTTTTTTAAATTAGTCAACTAGTTTTTATAATTAAGACCCATAATAGAGTTTATAACAGGAGTCCAACTTCATTATTTACAAATTTTTCGGGCAAGGTTGCCTGCCGGTATGACAAGACCGGTTCAGAGACTCCGAGTTATGGCCCAAAAAAGTTCGGATCAAAGCGTGGCCCGCGAGTTGCAAGTTGCGACCAACTCTAGAGAGAAGGCGACTGAGCTGGCGTGCGGACTGGGGATGGTATTTGCGAGAGCTCTTGTTTCTTCGAGGCGTACCGCCGGCTGCATCTCGCGTCTTTTGGCCCTCATCCTCTACTCCAAACCTGCAATAGCTCCACTCCTTGAGCCTCCTTCCCTGCACATCCACTGCCCAGGGTTCCCTCGAGGCGATTCCATGTCAGTATCGGACTCTGCATCTCATCGAGAAACATAGGGCGGCGAACATTCCTGCTGAGTGGTGAGAGAAGGATCGACCTGGTAATCGCTACATCGACTCAAACATTTTCATCCCTCTTACGACTCATGTTTAGGGTTCCTGATCGTATTCACGATTCTTTCTGTTCACTCGGTTGACTCGTTTGATAAAATCTCCCTTTCAACTGTTATTATTTCTCACTCGGGCAAAGTCGCTCATGTTAGTAAATAAATACCTGTTGCTTCTCATGATTCCATTTTTGTTGCCTCAATACAAAAGGGGCACGGGATATCGTTTCCACTGAGCTCAATATTTCTGTTCTTCTTCCCTCTGTTATTAGTCCTGCGCTTATCGTTTATTCCATCGCTTATAATTTGCAGAGAATCGGAGAAACACCTTTGACGCGTCAGTTCCTCTTGCAATTATGATTTAGATGTTGATGTAAAAGAGTGTTTCACGCTTCGCTTAGTTCAATTGGACTATACTGTGGCGGAATTGTTAGTTTTTTTTTTTTTAAATAAAAAAAAGATAAGGGGACTCGGCTATTTAATGGACTTACATGCTTTTCATCTGACTACTGAACAGGTTATTTTTTTCTAGTGTTGCTGACACTTGATAGGCCTGCAATTTCATTCTTGTAGTACCATTTTGCAGACTTACTGAAAGATATGCAGTTGTGTGGCGCACTACCTGACGAGCTTTTTTCTCTGTCCGAGTGTAGCTAGCAAGATTGGGAACACAATAAATTAAAAATGGATTTTAGTTGGATGAGCTATTTCCGTTGGATCTTCGAATTCTTTCTGATAACAATAAAATGGATTGTTTAGGGTTTATCTGCCTTAGAATCAAATCATACTCTCACATAAGCAAATGTGAAACCTCTTCTGTCATGTTAAAGATATTCGAAACTTCAGCAAATTCCTTGATTCTTGTATTCTTAGCCCTTTCTTATATCACAAATATCCCTTTTCCATAAATTAATATTTCTGTGGGTAATTTTTGTAGATGTCTCTTCACATTGGTAATCTATCCACACGCACTCGGAGAGATGAACTTGAGCGTGTCTTCTGTAGATTTGGACATTGTAATGTTAGGCTGAAAGGAGAAGGCTATGGTTTTGTGGTCTATGACTTCCCTCCAGACGCAGAGAAAGCTCTGAGAGCACTGCAAGGTAGAAATATATGTGGGGAGCAGCTAACTCTGACATGGTCAAAGAAACAACCCAAATCTTTTCAAAGATTTGCTAGGAGTGGTCGAAATTATGAAATGCAACGAGGAAGGAATTCTGACATGGCAGGCTTTGCAAGAAGGAAAATGAATTTAAATGGATGGAGGAATTACAAGATTAGTAATGATGCAAGGAATAACTCTGTTGACATGCCTAGTGGAGAGAGGGAATATCATCATGATGATTTTAAAGATTATGATGGGGAAGAAAAAGATTTCAGGCAAGACTTTCTAGATGATGGAGCTGGAGCCCATCATAACTTTGAGGACAATGGTAGATGGGGTGAGTCAATTCACGACTCATCAATCGATAATGGGAATGAAAATGCTGTTGAATTTGATCAATATGAACCTTATCATGGTTATGACAGGAAACATGAGAATGAAAATCATAACTTAGGTTACTCTGGTGGTTCTCCTGCAGAAAACTCCCGTAAAAATGTGGGTAGAGCAAGGATTGGTGAGGAAGCTTCAAACCGTCCTCGTGACCCAGCATATGGGCAAACCTGTTATAGATGTGGTGATTCAGGTCACAAAATGCGCAATTGTCCTAATAAAGATTCATCCCATAGAAAATATAACAAGTGGGATGATGGGGAAGATGGTAAAATAAATTGGAAACGTAGGTCTGAAGATGATCCTAAGAAATTTGGATCAGGATCTCAGGTGAAGCTGCAGTCAGGTGGGGATACTTCATTCCCGAAGCACCAGAAGAATGAGAGTTGGTTGCCTGATTCACGACATTACCAGACACGTGAAAGTAAATTCTCCCCTGCAGCAAAGGCAATTGAGCAGTCTCAAGGAAATGAATATGAAGGGAGAAAGCGTGGCAGGAAGGGAATTGGATCTCCGAAAAGATCTCAGGGAAAAAAAGCAAGAAGGTCAATCACACCCTCTTTGCAGTCGGATCGCATTGCATCTTGTTTAAACTCAATTTCTCAATCTTCCAAGTCTTTGCAAAGGTCCCATACCCGTTCTAGATCAAGGTCAGCTTCTTCTCGTGCTCATTTCTCATCCCCAGATTTAAGATCTTCAAGATCACACTATTCTATGGGTAGAAGTCCAAATTCTAAAAGGTCAAGCACCCCCTCATCTCTGTCTGTATCACTTGGTCAGCCCCTACAATCAGCTACAAATGAAATTCATTTGAATTCAAAAGGCTCAACTTTGGATGTTGCTGCTCCTGAATCCTTGGATAAGTTGGTTGGACAGGGACAACAGTCTGACAGAAATTTGGAATTAGAGAATGATAAATCCAAAGATACTAGTGATGTCGTTGGAAATGATGCATCATATGCCAACATTGTGGATGACAATAATGAGAATGGTACTCTCTTTGGTATGTCTCCCAAAGGAACGAATTTCACCAAAGCACTGCCTGATAAAGATACATTAGATGCTGAGAATTTGTCTTCAGAGAGGAAGCAGACAGAGGGCTTCCAGCGTCCTGGACCACTGGTTATGGATAATATCCCTCCAGGAGTTGAGAAACCAGCCTCAGAACCTCATGCTAACGTGCTTGCAACATTCTTCTGAGCAAGCAACCATAACTTCTGAAGAAATGTGCATGGTTTTAAAGCACTATGGCCTGGAGCTTCCCAAAGATGATGAAGAAAATTTAGCAGTGGATGCCTTCTTTGGTTCTGCTCGGTTGTGGCCCTGGCATATCATTTATTACCGCAGGCTGAAGAAGGGACCAATTTCAGTTGAGAACTATGCTAGGCGAGTTGCTCAAAATCAAGAATTTGGTATTGTTGATAAGTATATTAGAAGCAGCAGTGGATGGGGAGAGTTCAGCCTGGGGAACGCACAATAATGCTGCCTGTCACCAACGTTGCCCTTTAGTGGACTTTTCGGCGTAAAATCTCAGTATTTTGTGTTTGCTCTTGTTAGGCTCTACCTGGATTCAGATTTGAATTCCTTAAAAAGGGTTTAGCAAGAATTTTGCGCGGGTAGCCAGGTAGGTAATTATGCAAATCATAACGCAATCGGTATTGCTATGCATACTATTAGTCCTCACGATCAGTATCTTTAAAAAATCGTCACATATATGAAAATGCCAGTGCATTGAAAAGTTTGTGTTTAGGCCTGTTCTATTCACTTTTTTGGTTGCTCAAAAAGAGGGAGTGGAGCTTTCGTTTCCTAACCGCATCACAGTTAACATTATAGTGCTGGTTGCATTAGTTTAGCAATTATTGCCATTACGTACATATTGTTTAATCCGCCAATTATAATCCTATGAATGCGGTAAATTTACGTCTCGCTTTCATCTCTATCATGGATGGTAGCTGGAATCACTCAATTAAGGGATCAGTACCCTAATGTTACCCATCCAGTCTCACCCATAGCAAAGATTGTTGCATGTTGACAAAATTAAGAGCATCACAGTATAATCCTTAACTATGTCGAAGTCATGGCTGCCCCTGGAAAGAGCTGTTAATCCTTGCTGCCCTTTCTCTGATTTCTTATTCCTGTCACATTTCCCTTCTTTTTCAAGAGAATGTCAGCCTAAGACAATGTTTGCAGGTATTCTATTGCACATTATGCTACCTGCCTCTTCTTTTGTTTTGTCCAGCGGATTACCTTCTTGGTGGAGGGTCGTATTAGCTGTGAAGAGAAAGTTGATTTTGTGGTAAATGTGTTTTATTATTTTGTTGGAGTTAAAAAATGGTTGCTCCACAAAACTTATAGCCAGGGTACCTCTTCTTGTTGTATCTTGAAGAGATTGTGAGCAGAGTCTTTTTTTGATAAAAGATTGAGTAGAGCTTTATTATTTTGTTGTGATTGGTTAATTACATGCTGTAAATATTTTTGGAAAATCCAACTTTTGTGAGATTTCGCTGAAAATTTTGTACAAAGTTTGATTTGATAATGAACATTATACCATGTAATAATATTCTGGTGGAGTGAATTTCATCAATTGTAATTAGGAAGTTATAAATTAAAGGAAAAATTGTAATTAGGTCCCATCCAAGAAATTAAATACAAAAAATCCATTAAAATTATGAAATTATTGTGAAGTCCTAGGAGAATTTCTTGCAATAAATTTTATTGTTGAATTATCAAATTGTCTTTATTATTTTTTTAAGTTTGTATTGATAATTGAAAGAGCAATGATTGATAACTATCAAGGCAGGTATTGATAATATATTTTCTCAGCACATCACAAAATGTAATGTATGAGTTAATATCTGTCATGGTAGTTGTTAATTCTTACACTCTAAATTATCAATCACTGTTATTTTAGTTATCAATACAAACTAAAAAAAAAAGGATAATTTGGTAATTAAACCAATAAAATTTATTGCAATAAGGTTCTTTAGAATTTCAAAATAATTTTATGATTTTAAGGGATTTTTTTGTATTTAATTTTTTTGGGTGAGATCTAATTGCAATTTTTTCTAAATGAATGGGCTTGTGAAGCAAGATTTACCTTATACCAATTACCTCTGCATGTTTTGGATATGTCTAAAGGCATTGCCGCCGCCGCTACCTTCACATATTTGATGCATTACGAGTGAATATGAGGCTAATGCACTGTTGAACCATCGTATTTAATTTGGTTCTCGATAATTTATGCGCTGATGTAACTTGAAAAATCATGAGTTGGCTTATATTGAATATCAAACAAAATTAGAAGATTATTTGACCTGAAGTTTTTTGTGACGTGATTTTTTTTTTTTTACCAAGTCCATGATGCTTTACTAGTTTTGTTTGACAATAAACAAAATCGGAAAAGATTTTGTTTGAAAACGAACAAAATTTTCATATTTATAGATATTTAAAACTATGAATTACAACCATAATAAAAACTTTTATTAAATTTTAAATAGAAGCATTTCTTTGGGGGGAAAATCATACCTAATTGGTGACTTACTATATGACAATGGTCATCAATTCCTTGTTAAAAATGTCTTCTAAGAGAAAAGGAGGGAGTAGTAGGGATTAGGAACACGAGAGGAAAGACCGCGGCACGTAAGTGAGCATTTGAGCAGATGAATTAGGTAAGTGAAGGAAAGGAGGAAAGAAAGAAAAATTAAGGTTGGCAGCTTGTCATCTGACGTAATACCTTCTCCTTATTATTCTCAGCTGTCTCAGTTACAATCCCCTCCTTTTTCTTAAATGCTCAAAACTACCCCAGTCCAACTCATCCTTCGTATCTCACCACACAACTTTCATCCTCCATTTTGCTCGTTCTTGTTTCCACTTCCATAGCAAATATGGTTGCTTTTACTGTTTTTTTTTTTTTTTATATTCCATTCCATCCATTATTGGTTAGTGATTCTTGCTCTCTCACTTCTTTACACCCGCAGATCGTGTCGACTTGTTAGGGAGCAATCTCCGAGAAAAGTCAACCTTTCAACTCTAATCCTTAGGATTTTGACTCTCCGTCTCAGACGTCCGATTATATTTGCCGCCACAGAATTCAGACCTAAACTGTGGTGTGCAGAATAGAGTGATGGTTAGCATGCTGAGGTGGAAACCAGTCATTGTTGACTTGACTGCTTGTTGCTGATGTAAACCATTAATACATAGAAGTACACCCCCAACGATTATAAATTAATTAATATTATTCGACTATTAAATATATGATAATTAAATAATAAATATTACCTGTCTCTAATATAAGAGTTTGTTAATAAGACTTTTATTTTTATCCTAAACATGATATTTAAATTTATCTTATCTCTTATATTTAACTTTTTTTAAAAAAATTCTTGTAATAATAATACTTTTAGCCAATCATTTGATCAGTAAAAATATTTTTAAAAAAACAACACATATTTATTATAAATAATTAATTTAACTATTTTTTTAATCTATTTAAATTAATCAACTAATTCATAATTTATGAACAACTACTACGCATGCCCAATACAAAGAACGCCTCGTGTTAATCACGTGGAAGGAGCAGCTCAGCCTACCCACCGTGGGCCTTCTCCTGAAGTTGAAAGCCATATTCGTAGCTAGTACTCTAAGTTGCTAGTACAGGGGATTTACCAGTTACGACATGGGGTTAAACGCCCGTAACTTTTTTGGCGCTGCCATTTTTAAGTTTAATGGTGGCTATCAGGCTTGGTTAAAGGAGAAATCGAAAAAAAAAAATTTAAAAATTAAAAATTATAGAAGAACCTGTTCATAAAACTTGTTATCAAAAGTCACAGTATTACTCCTCCGGTTCTTTTATAAGACTCAATTTGACTTTTTATTTGGTCCTATTATAAGAATCCATTTTCTCTCTTATTTTGTATTTTTTTCCAGATAATCCTTTAATAATGATAGTTTTAGCCAATATCTTTTAGCAAGGATATTTTAGGAATAACGACACTTATTTATTATAAATAACTAACTTCTTACTTCCTTAATCAAATAAGTCAATTGGGTCTTATAATTAGACAGGAGTATTATCAAAACTCATACTGATATTTTATGACTTGTTATTTGTAATTTTTCTCTTTCATGGGTCTTTTTTGCTGTTTTCTTTTGGTTAAAAGCAACGGCACAAAATAAGATTTAGATAATGAAGGGAAACTATATTTCATTGAAGCCCTAATTACACTGGCAGCTAACGAAGCAAAAAAGCTGAGCCCAGAAAATGGTCACAGAGATATCCGCAATCAGCATTCCCATAATAGAATAGTGCTATTCACGCTCCACCTTCTCCTTCGCTCCGTTAGCTTCTCTTCTCTCACCTTCTCTGAATCCCCTGTTTGACACCACTTGAAATAGTAGGAGATAATAAAAGTGGAGCGCACTTGAAAGGGGAAAGTATTATAGAGGAGCAAAAGAGAAAAAAGAAAGAGATTCCTAGGATTGAAAAAGCTAATACTACGCCCTACAGTTCTAGTAGCATAAGGGAAATTGGGTAAGGGGAAACAGCGGGATGCTATTCTAGTTCCTCCTTCCGGCGGGTTTGTTGGTGTCATGGAGGAAATCAAGCAAAACGGTGCTTTTGCACTTGGGGCACTTTGGATCGTCCTCACACAGCATCACGTACATGAGACAGCGAGGGCATCCCACCAACACCATGGATGTCGCTTCGGGGCTGTTCGAGTATCTTAGACCGTTCTCTTCTTGGTTCAGCTCCGACGACAAGCAGGAGCTCGCCGGGGACGACGACGAAGCCGTGGTCGATCGGCTCGGCGACTCCAGTCTCCGGTCAGCCCCTGGTCGGGATATGTTCAGCTTCAAGTCAAGCTTTGGACCGCTTCCGTTTCTGCGACTCATGGTTTGTGCCTTGCCTGCTTCATGGAAAAATGAAAAGAGAAGGAAAGAAAAACAAGAAATGTCAGATCGAAAAACCCAATAGCCAATCCAATCGTACCAAACAAAACATGCGATTCCGAAAGGAGAGAATTTGGAATTTGATTAGGTGGGCACCTACGGCTGGGGGGATGGACCTCAGAAGGAAAATGGAAAAGCTTGAAGAATAGTATCAAGCTCCGGCAACACCAATAGTATGTGGTGTGTTTTGTGGGGATGATGTGAACATCGGAGGCCATTTTATATAAGGGAAACGAAGGTAGGTCAATTAAAGCTTAATTAAATCGTGGGAGAGAGGCGGAGAGAATTGGGAAGAGAGAGAAGAAGGGGGGGGGGAGAGAGATGGAATTGAATTGAATTGAATTTGAATTGGAGTAGTATTGGGTGGAAGAAGTGTAAATTGAGGGCAGGAAAAGAATTAATTGTAGGAAAAATCCCAAGAGGTATGCAGGAAGGGGAAATTTGGAGTAAATATTGCAATTACGAAGTGCAGGGAAATGGCTTTTCTTCATTCATTGCTTCGGGCAGTCGGTGTTTAAAGAGTCTCACACCCATCCATCGCACACGAGAACCTAAACCCTTATTTAAATCCCAACCCACCGAAAAAATTTAAATATCATCAATAACCATCAATTCATTTAGATGAGTACTACTCCTACTGCTAGGAACCATGGAAAACCAATTGTAACCAACTGCCTTGTCTCTAATTTAAAATTATTCAACTGTACCGTGAATAAGAAAAGAATAAACTAAATGACATGCTCATTTTCCTGCTATATGATGAATGCTTCTAGTAAATTACTACCTATTACTAACAGATATGAAAAGATCAGCGTGGCTTTCATCAATTTTTTTTCTTCCTCTGAACAAAACAACAAAAGGATGACAGATTTGAATTTTGTAGCAGATAGCAGGGAGCAATCTTTCCCCTGATTCTCCAAGGTGATGCACCTGATGGGAGTGAAGGGATTTCTCACTGTCTCATTTGATTTTTCTGAGTTGCTTTACGCAGTACAAGGATTTGTCCACTGTTTAACGGACATCACATGACTCCTTGTTTTTTATTATGGGGATTGAGGACCATTATATTGATTCTTCCTCGAAAACATCTCTGTGCTTCTTTAACATGAATTCTTTTTCACGATTGGTCAATGTAACAACAGTGACAGCCACAACAGCATGCTCTGGAAATAGAATATTTACTGGACTCCACCTCCAGAGCTTCCACATGTACAGGAATTTGATCAAGGATTGAGGTTTTAGCCTGCATTATTATGTAACCATTTGGCTTTTCTATTGTCATTTTAACATTTTTGACGGTTTTCTCCCTCGCCTAAAAACCAAGATGCAGACTTTTTTAGTATTTACAGGTGAAAACCGGAGGTGATGAAGGAAATTATAAAATGTTTTTTTTGGGGGGGGGGGGGAGTATAGAGAGAGAGACCAGGTGCTAGGCAGGTTCCCTTTACATACGAGGAAGTTCAGGGGCAACGTGGCATATGTTCATGGAACTTGCCTTAAATGCTGTGTCACGGCTTACTATAAATAGACAACTGCAATTGCATCTCGTGCGTGACAAATAAGGACAGTATCTATCTATATATCTATCTCCACTTGAACCATTGCGGATGAGTATTCAACATTCATAAATCAAAGTACCACCAACCTTTCAAGAAAAGTAGCGGTTCGCTTCCATTATTTCATCTACCATTTGCTTCTTTTATGGTTTTTTCAATACCTCATCATCAAACTGGCGTGTATATTGATAAAAATTATCAGATAAATGGCTGACTTTAATCATGTTTTATAATTTTACCCCTCCCCAGTTTTGATTTTAAAAATAAATTAAGCCAGGCACTGCCAACCATCTCTATTCCGTTTTTCGTCAAATTCATACAGGTATTTATTTTATATAGACACTTTGCTTGCACTAACACAATCACTTCATTTTTGTTTTGATTATAATTTCTTAATTCAGAACTTGACATAAACGAAGATTCAGATTCAAATTTTGCTCTGGTGAGTTTGAAAGAGTTTTTTCCCCCACTATTCCTGTTTTAATCTGCTGCAGAAGATAGAGTTGCTTCCAGAGGAGTGAACTAGTATTAATTGCTAAACCATAATATGTTCATGGGTATAGTATTAAATATGGGGGATAATTGCATTAACGCATGACTGATCATTCTGGTTAATTTTATAATATTAAGCTTCTTTACCTGAAATGAGCAATGAGTAGGATCTTTAATGAGAGCCACCAGAACTTCAGAAGCTAAAATCACATCACCTATGCTGTCTCGTTTGAAATTTTGGATAAGTACGTAATAATAGTGCATCGGCCGATTCATTAATGAGAATATGGGGCTTTCAAGGCAAAAAAGTCACTGCTTGCTCCCGTTTTTCCAGAAAACTATGGGTCAAAGGGCAACACTAGCAAGTGAAAATGAAACAGTAACCAAATACCACTCTGCTTCTGAGAAGCTTTTCTTTCGCACTTTCGAGTTGCGAGTGAAAGAAAGGCAAATATTATTGTTTCAATGCATGGCAAAAAGTAAGCTTTTTCATATGTCTTCACATATTTGTATCAGAACAAGCGTGAGGAAGAAGCTGGTGGTAAGAGGCATTAGCGCAAGGAGGTGTAGTTTTTTATATTAACTTGCAATTACACCGTACTTCGAAGATGGACGAGGTGTCAAATGAGTACAATAGCAGTGAATTCGATTTGCATTTAAGAAATGTGAAGTGTATTACTAACTAGACGTTATCTTCCAACTGAGATAGGATTCTCTGATTTTACACAAATAATTTACATTTTATGCATTTTAATAAGTGAGTAACTATATACAATATGGATTCCTAAACAACCAAATTCTCTTGGATCTGTCTCTCTGAAATCATAATTGCATGATTGCAGAGGATTACCACTATTTAAGGTGAGAGAGAGAGATATATATATAGACGGCTGGGGAAGAGTTTAATTTCTTGACGCATATTCAACGGCTTAGCAATTTGCCTTGATTTGGGGCTGTTAGTAGTATCATATGAGTGGTTGACCCAGCTTTTCTGGATCTATCAACCCCCAGGAAATTAAATTCTCTTCCTTACGTGATGATGCTATCTTTTGGACATTTCTAAAATATCACGGACTTGATGTAACGCATTAATGCCCAGTCCAACCTTCAAACTTGAAAGACAAATAATATTCATTCCCCACAAAACAAAATTGATGGAAATCGATGAATATTTCACCTCACCAGTCACCCCTTTCCTTGGGGAAAAAGAAGAGAAAAAACCAGAAGCTTCCAGTAGGTGGGTTTGTATTTGGATGGTGAACATTACCAGAGCACAAAGAAGTTGAAGATAAGAGATCCATTAATGAGATATATGCTAGAGGGGATATGATATGGTAGATTTAATTATATACGTAGGTGCACAACAAATTATGCAGCGATTCATTTATTATGTATTGTTGGATTGGCACAATGGAGTAATAATGCGATAAACGGATAAAGTACTCCCATTAAAAAAAATAAAACAAATCATGCGATAGTCGTAATTAATAACACATCACTTTGCAGCCATGACCCGTGACCTTTTGTAGGAGTATTTGAATTTTGTGTACAACGTTGTTACTTGTTAGGGATTAAGGCTTTAGGCACCAGGATCCAGAGTTAATAGATTGTGGGTAGAAGACAAAACACGCACATCTCTTTGAATTTCTTCCTCAAATATCTACTTTCAAACATGTTTCCGTTAATGAATTATACATGTGTTCTGCTAGATTTATAAAACATACTGTTACTAAGATCATTTCTTTCTGGTCCATAGACACACGTGAATATTAATTAGTGGGAGCAAAATTTTAATTAATTTAACGTAAATATTAAATTTCAAAAAAAAAATATTTTATCAAATTACAGGATGCAAGTGATTGTTTTCCTTTTGGATTGGGGGGCAACTGGAATTTTCTAGATCCCTAACTAGTAGCCATAGTTTTGAGTTAATACAAGTTTTGGTTCTTTAAATTTGTTTTTATTTTAGTTTTGATCCCTCAAGTTTATTTTCGTTTAAAACATTAATCCTTATAATTCAATAAGAATTTAAACCATTTTGCTCTTTGAAAAATCAAAATCTATTGTTTGAAACTTGAGGTAACAAAACTTGAATAAGGACAAATTTGAGGAACCAAATATCCTCCAATCCTTAATATAAGACCCATTTAACTAATTTGATTAGATTAAGGAAGTTAGGTAAGTTAGTTAATTATAAGAAATGTGACACATTTTTCCTAAAATACCATAATCATCTTTCTTAATATCCCCTCTTTCTCTTCTACTTGATTATGGTTGAAACAGTATTCATAGAGGTAATTTAGAAAAAATTGATAAATATGAAAAATGGTTCTTATATTTAGGATCAAAATCAACTCAATAATTGGGTCCTATATTAAAGACTGGAAGAGTATTATATTAACCCATGTATTTTCTATATGGAAACTTTTTGCCTCGTGGGAACAATTGTCTCCAATCTCTTATACATGGGTCTGTCCCTATTTATAAGTGGCTGAGATCAATGAGTAATTAATTTTTTTACTTGGGATTTGTATGTAAGTTTCCTAATTAACAATTATACATGACGTGGAGGTCGAAGAGATTGTTTAAATTTTGTTGTGATAGAGTTGGTAGATGGAGAATTGGGGGGGTGCCACGAAAGGGAGTTTAATTATTTCAAGAGATCAATACACACTGCAAAATCATCTATGCGCAACTCACCTTACTTAATGATAGATCTTAATGAGACTCAACTATTTGGTGGCTACCTGCAAATTCAAAACTAAATTCATTATTCTTTTTCATTGCTGCTGCACATACATGCTACTTCTATGTAATTCCGAAGAACATCATCTTCCGTTCCTCGCTAACATACAAAGCCCAGATTCAGACCTTAATTGTGCTACTATTTTGCTCATTGGTTTTTGATTTGTTAAGAAAATTCAGAAAGACTGGAAGTTTAAACCAGTGTGCACTGAATGCTGCAGCAACTACGCATAGGTATTGTAAAAAATTAATCAAACAGATCCAAGGCCATAAATTATCCCAGTAGTATACTCTATTAATTGCTCTGAGTGAAGCAGTTCTACGCCATCAGCGGATCTATTTTTATGTGCAGACCAAACTCACCAAGTATCGGATTTACCATTAACACGCCATAACCATCCACAGTTATTCTGAGTTTTTTATTTTTATTTTGGGGGTCTGGTCTGATGGGGATCGTAATAACTGAGGCCACAGAAATTAAATTGGACTTTAATGCGATGGTTTGTTGAATTAAAGCAATCACTATATTATAAAACCAAGTTGCAGTATTCAACGAGTGATCCTTCAATGCTTTCAATAACCACTGTAAGAACCGAGAGATTTGGCTGATCCCAAGATCCACCTTTCACGTGACACTCCATATGGTACATACTGGTATGGTACTAGTATAATCTACTTAGACCCCATAATTAATTAATTGCTCATTTGATGTCGCTCCCCACTGTTTAGTACACTGAATTAACGGCGTTTTGTGAGCATCACATGTAGTTCTACAAATCATATTAACGTGTAGTATTTTATAATATATGCAGATCATGTAAATTCCGTTACAGTTTAGTTCACCAGATGAATCGCATGGAAGCTTTCTGATCCGGCTCATATAACTTCTCTGGATTCTGAGACTCTTTTAGATGATAGTGACTGGTATTATCCTTTACGGAGAGGTTTAAGAAGATCTTCAAAGAAAAGTTCTTCTTGCTCTCGTAAGAAACCTTTCAAAAATCACGATGATGACCATAGATCTAAACAATTGGGCAGATCAAAACAACGGAGAAATATTCCTGAACCTGTTAAGTCTTCCTTGGGGTATGTCTCTATGTGAGATTATTCAAGTAACAGAACATGAAGAACTTCCCCTCAGAAAACGACCTGATCCAATTATTCCACCTGTTTCTTCTTAGGTGCAACAATCTTTACCCTCTATTGCTATAATGTAGCCAACCAACACTCTAAACTGCTGACACTTTAGATTTCACTCAGACGTCTTTACAAAAAAAATGCCTGTCCCAGTGTGTTATGTGTCTTTAGCTTTTGTAAAAGTAAAGTGTTATGCATAAAAGTATGTTTATCTTACTTTAACTTTATGTCATGTACTTTGCTTTTATGTCATTAAGCTTTGGTTTTTATAAAAACATGTGTATTATTATTTGAAGTATATAAAATCAGGCATCTATAATGATAAAATACTAATTAAAGGTTAGTTGAACAACATAGTTTGTTCTCTGTGAATTTGTTTTAAGTTCTCTTTTTTTTTTTTTCTTCTGAAAGAATGTTATTCAAATCTTAGTCTATCATAGAAATTAGTTTATTCTGCTAAATTCATACTAGTGACTTGTCATAAATTTTACTACCTCCGGTTCATCACGCCAGTGAGAAACGAGGTTTTATAATTAGAGTTCGAAGGTAGTATTAATAAGTTTTATCAATGTTGATGTGACAATGCCCTGCAAATTAAAAAAACCTGGTCAAAGCCGGATAAAAAACCCAGTAGTATGACCGTATGTATGGGGACCATCAGTTTTCCATGTGGCCCAGTTAAGCATCAGAGGACATACAGAGCCGAGGGTTAATATCGGAATAAAAGGTGGCCCCCCGAGAAATAAAATGGGGATGCAGCAGGAAGTATCAGTGTCGATCTAAATTTTTCGGTAAACCTGTTTCGATCTAACTTTGATTACATACATTGATGATGCATTGACTAACAGTATAGTACCATGGACGACACAGAAAAATATCTCATGTCCTGTGAACTATAGAAGCCCTAAAAACCCCACACTTGTTATGATTTGTTCATTGCGAGATCAGTCAATTGCTTCTGGTTGAATCTTGGAGGCAAAAGGCGGGAACGCCATTAATGACAATCAATTCGTATTGAAGAGGAATTTCAGTCCTTCAGAAATGAAGGAGCTTTCCATCAGACGTACTGCACTTCACTTGAAGGCGCTTAATTAAGGGTTGCACCCTCACATGCTTTTGTTTATCCTTAAAAGACTCTGCTAACTAACTGCTAACCACTGACATAATTGCTCTTCTCCATCCATTAGGCAGCAATTTATTCCAAGGCTTAAAGTTTAGGGTTCGCACTAACAAACAAGTTGAAAACTACAGCATCTAATGTTGCACCTCTTCTTAAAGGCCCTGATCTAAATCACTGATTAAGTCTACGATTAGTATTCTTTTGGTAGAGAATGAATTGCACAGTAATTAGATGACCTTAACAAGCTTGATTTAAAAGAAGTACTACAGCATGAGATGGAACATATATAATCTAATTATCGGTCCGCACCTTCAAAGGAAGAAGAAATTTGTAATGCCTAAGAAGCGAGGACGATCAGGATCTCAAGATAGGCAAACTGCTAAAAAGATAATGGACATGGCATAATAATACCACAAACACAAAGCTCCAAGTGCAGTGAGTAGGCAGAAAAAGAAAAAGCTCAGTAAACTGGACGCATTTTTTCCTACGCACTTTTGCAGGGCCTGTGCTACACAGCAGAATAAGAATCCGCAGTTGTATTCCAAAATCACATGAAGATAATAAAATGATAAAAATTTGGGTTTGATACGAATTTTTTGAGTGTTCTGTTTTGGAAGGCCGTTGAGGATTGACGAGTAATGAGAAGCGCAACGATTCTGAATTCGCATAGATAGGCAAGATTTGGGCACCGAATAATTTGTTCTGGGAAGCTGAGGAAAACAATAGCACGATGTTTCAGGATTTTATCTCCTCGGCTTCCTGCCCTTTTTGTTTCCGCTTCGATTTTTGACGATAATTTTCGTTTGTTTTTTTTTAAAAATTTTTAAATTATTAGAGTAATACTTATTTAGAAACTCGGGGGGCTATGGGTAAATACCACGAAAACGAAGGGCAGATTACCGAAACTTGCAGAAATCAGAAATTCTCCCCCGAGGTCTTGGGAGAGTCAGGGGAGCAAGGCATTCGAGGCGAAGCAATCCATGGGCAACTCTCAGTCACCTCCCTCTGATCCTCGATATGCTTCCGCATCCAGGTTTCTCTCTCCTTCTTTCTACACAACTCTCGAATTTCTCAGATAAACAGCTTTGCTTACTTTATTTTGAGGAAACTATTTCAGAGCTTTCACTCAAAAGGAACTTGAAGATTTAAGGACTCTGTTCAAGTCTTTGGCAGTTCAGTCGCAGAGCAACGGCAACTACGTCTCTCCCTCCGTCTTTCAGGTTCAGTTTCGTGCCCCGCGATAAATACTTATCTTGATCATCAATCAAGCGTTGCCCTTTCGACCCCAGAAAATTCGATTTTCTGTTACAGTCATATTTTGGACTCGATGGCCCTCTTGGGGAGAGAATCTTCGATTTGGTTACTCAGCAGCGAGGGGATAAAAAATTAGCCTTCGAAGATCTCATTATCGCTAAAGTAAGTTCTTGGGGGCAAAAATCATCACCTTTTGATGTTATAATGGCAATAATCATAATTTTTGCTGTTATAATTGCGTCATATCCCATGTTTTGTTTCATTTTTCGTGTTGCAGGCTGCTTATGAGAAAGGAACAAAAGATGAAATTGATGAATTCATCTTTCGCTTACTAGATGTATCTGGAGATAATATTCTAGGGAGGTAGGGCGATACTCACTCGCAACCCCTTGTTCTCAACCCTTTGATGCAAGTATGATCATACAATGCCACATTTTGTCCAGAGTAACTAAGCAATGAAGCCAACTCGCCAAGACTAATTGTGTGTGGCTATTTATTTATAATCTCCTGTAGCTTATTCTTTATGGGAAATTAATTCCAGTCACTAGCACTCGTAAGGTCTGGGGTATCATCTGTAGTTGCATATTGAATTGGGAATTTTCATTCCTTTGGTTTCAATCTATAACCTGACTTGAGAGTTGTGATTCATTGACATCAGTACCCGTCTTGATATTCTAGGACATAGATTATATTGAAGGACGGCAAGTTTTTAAATGTTGGAATGAAATCTTTCTATCAATATTGATCATATCCAATGCTGTCTTGGAATTGCTCCCCTGCTTGCTTTTTTCTCTTGATTTCTTTATTACCCTTTTCGTTTGTTTTGATGCATATGACATTTAAGCATGCAGGTCTGATTTGGAATCTGTTCTAATAGCAATTTTTAACAACCTATTGAGCATTAAAGATTCTGAAGTCAAGTCAAGTTCCCATCAGGACGTTGTCAAGTGTTTTTGAATACTGCAACTTTCTCGAAGCATGAAGAAGGATGCACTGAGGAGGTTATGTCTTTCCAAGATTTCAAAAGTTGGTGTACTCATCTCCCATCTGTGAGAAAGCTTCTTGGAGGCTTGCTGATGCCACCTGATTCAGGTACTTTGTACTTATTCAATGATAATATTGGTATCATTTTACCATATTCTAGATGAAAAACTAGGGAAATGCTATAGACATATATTATTATTCTTATTTTTTTTCCTTTTTCTTCTTTAGGGAGACCGGGTTGTCAAGTTCCTCGTCTATTGCATTCAGATGGTATTGAGTCTGACATTTTCCTCTTGAGAAAGGAGTATGCATGGCTTATTGGAGGAGCACTTTCTCAGCAAGAAGGGGAAGCATGGAAGCTTCTGTATCATAGTGCTTTGAATGGTCTTAGTTTTAACACATTCCTGGGCAACATTTCGTACGTATATTATCTCGCCTTTAGGCTTTATTGAGGAGTAATGTAAAATTCTTATGTTGCTATGTAGTAAAAGAAAATGGCACTTTACTTTTCAAGATGATGGGTTTGCAACGAAATTGTGTGAATTATTAACCACAGGAATACAGTCTGGAACTGGAGGGAAACCAATACATGACACAACAGTAACTCTACGCACTATGGGGAATAAAGCCATGGTGACCTGAATGACAGAGACCTCCTATTTGCTTGAAGCTAAATGACAGTTAAATTTATATATTCCAACTAGTCTAGGCAGGATTGGAGCTTAACTCTGAAATTTAACTGCAGAAATCATGAAGGCCCTACCGTGTTGATTATCAAGGATGAAGAAGGTTATATTTATGGAGGATATGCTTCCCAACCATGGGAACGGCATGCAGAATTTTATGGAGACATGAAATCTTTCCTCTTTCAGTTAAATCCAAAGGCATCTATATGTAGACCTACTGGAGCAAACCATAATCTGCAATGGGTAACTATCTTTTTTTTTTTGGCGTTAGATGTGTGAAGTTCTAGAGGATTTAGATAATTTTATGATATCTGTGATGTAACTCTAGTTTGCAGAGAGGGAGAATGACAATGATCTCATATTCACTCTCTGTTTTTATATTGTAGTGTGCTGTGAACTTCACTTCAGAGGATATCCCAAATGGTATTGGGTTTGGTGGACGGGTTAATCACTTTGGTTTATTTCTGTCGGCAAATTTTGATCAGGGGCATACGTTTTCATGTTCCACATTTGGGAGTCCTTGCCTCTCCAAGACTAGCCGTATATCCCCTGAAGTAATTGAGTGCTGGGGAGTGACTACTGCAGCCCAAGCAGGAATTCAGGGCAGGGATGAAGCCGTGAAGGGTACTGTACTTGAGAGGTACAAGGAAGATCGAAATATGCTCAAAATGGTAGGCCTTGCGAATTCCAGTGAATGAAGTAGACCTTGCATTCTCAAATCCATTCCCTTTATCTCTTGGCTTGGCCTTCGGATGAATAGCTTTGTGCTTTGTCAAACCTCTATCAATAAGTAGCGAATTAGCAATGAACTCCTGGGTTGCTTTCTTGAAAAGCTGGCGCACGTGAATATTGCCATTTGTTTTCTGCTTTATGCGTCAGCTGTAGACCTCGGAGTTCTTGACTGTTGGATGATGAAAGTTCAATAGCAGTTCTTGAGCAGTGAGTGCTTTGAAATTTTTAATTCTAAGGTGGTCGAAAAGCTGCAGTCCTCAAAAGCTTGAGCTTCTTGCTGTATAATCTTTATGTGAAAATTGATAATTGAGATAAAGTGAAATATGCATTTAATCCTTTAAATCTTACCTTGATGTATAATCTTATCCGTCAATATCTGGATTTCAGTTTGTTTCAAACTTTCATATATGTATGTATGTATGTATAATAAGAATAAAAAAGTGTAAAACAAACCGAACAATGAGACATCAATTTGCGCTAATTCACAATTTCCACTTTCCACATAAAATTGGAAGATGAAAATTGTGTTGCCATACTGTATGGATCTATTTATATAAAAATATGCAATATATATAAATCTGACATCTTTTTTAGTAATTACAACTAATTATTTTCGATAATATTTTGAATCTTTTTTTCAAAAAATTTCAATATTTTTATTTCTAAAAGAGGTCATAAAATTCATGTTCTTTTAGGTCATTACACATTTAAACTGGAACAAGTTTTAATTATCAATCTAATTTTTTTAAAAAATTATCCAATCATGAATTATGTTTGACTGATTTTTTTTTTACCAGCATATATTTGATTGATGAATAACTCACTTCTTAGTCTTTGATCCCCATTGTTACAAGTGCTCCCGAGCACCCCCCCCCATCTATACAATAAAAGGTGTCTATTTATCTATTTCTTAACTAGAAAAAATGGCAGCAAGTTTGAAAAAAGATCTTATGTCTCTAGAATTGGGCCAAGAGGGTCTTTTATTAAGATTTGGGGACTGTAATCCTAATAAACACTTGAGCTTATTTGCAATTGTTTATTTTAAGTCAATATAAGCACTTTTACATAAACCGAGATGAAGTACTACTTATAAGTTTTCCAAGTGAACCCTTAACCCCCATTACGGGATTGGATTTTAATCCCGTGACCTTCACAACAAAACCCAACAGAAAGCACAGCTTTAAAACAAGCCTTTGTTTAGCCTACGTGTTTGGACGGATTTGGATAATTAGCAAAAAATGAAACAGAATGGCTAAAATAGTTCGAGTGACTATCAAGGAGATTTTATTAAGACGCAATTGAATTGATAAGAGACCACCCACAAACCCTCATTACCACCCCAAACAGCAGTTTTATATGATCCTAAATCGGAGAATTAAAGACAGTGAAAATGAAATAAGTGATAAAATCACAATCACATCATCCATTTTTTTTGACAACCAATCATATCATCCTCCGCTAAGAACTTAACAGTTAACACAGTCAAGCTTCAATTATAACTAATGCTTAAAAGATAAGATTTATAATCTTCTATTCCATTAAAGGGGTGTTTGGCTAACCCTAGAAATGCTTCTCAGAAATATTATTCTGCAAATTGAGACAAACTCCTCCACATGTTTACTTCGTATACCGTAAAAACACTTTTGAAATCATGATTTTACTCTTACCTAAAGACCTCTTAAGAAGTTGTTGCTTGTAAATTCTAAAGACAATGACGCATGACTCCCGATTTCACTCCTCACCATACGATTCCGTTCGAAACAGTACAGCACACATAGCATTAAAAAACAGTTCGAAACAACATAAAAAGAAAGCTTATAAGCAGGCGGTAATATCAATTTAGAATCATATTAGTATGCCACACCTAGTAGACAAAATCTATTCCATTAACTAATGTTTGAGGAGTGTCAGGTGAATTGCAGAGTAAACCATAATATGTGATCTAACACAGAAGTTCAAATTCAATCATTGATGGCTAGTAAAACTTCAATTACGTAAATATAAGCCACTAACGATCGGCTCAAATCTGAAAACCACGAAGACGAAGACCAAAACCTAATACCTCCTAGGTCCGCCAAAACCACGACCGAAACCCAACGTTTGCTGCACAGGGACGGGCTCAACTTGGACGAGCCCCGGAATATCATTCATACCAAGAGCACTGAGCATGTCTAGAGTCTCCTTATCGACCTCGATCTGATCGGTCTTAATGGCGGAGACGTCAGGGACGAAATCCATGCGACGCTCACGCTCCTCCTCCTGAAGCTTGAGAGAAATTCCACGAACGGGTCCCTTCTGGATCCTCTTCATGAGATGGGTCGAGAATCCAGCAATCTTGTTGCGGAGTCTCTTGGAGGGAATGAGAGCAACCTCCTCAAGAATCTTCTTATTGGTGTGGAAGTCCAACGTCATTCGAGAGTAGTACTTCTCGATGACCTGCCGTGAAGACTTCTTGACAGTCTTGGTGCGGACGCGTCCCATGGTGGCTGCCTCAGAGACGTTGAGCAGCGCTCGGAGGAAAACAGAGAACAATCACAGTTGCAAAACCAGCCAAGGCGGGATAGGCAAATGGCTCACCTAGGGTTTTTGTGTATATGAAAAACCTACGAGATACGGGCCTGACATTAAGATCCATATTCGGCCCATCGAAATTTCAAGGCCTTTTTTAAATTGCCTAAAAACTTGCCAGACCAGGGAATGTTAACATGGGCCTTTTTGTCAAAATTTCTTGATTTTTCAATCGTTTGCTTAGCTGGCCATTTTTGATGGCTCGGGGCCGATTTATAGCACTCAGCTGCGAGTCACAATTGCACGACTCCGATAATACAGACCATGCCTTTATCAAGAAGTCCACCAGACCAAAAGGTCTTGGGTTTAATAAAAAAGACTAATTCCTCACAACGTGACGAATTAATATTTGAATCCCTATTAAAAGAGATATTCACATTTAATACCCGACAGTGCCTCGAATAGGATTGCTTCCAATAGAAAGATACCTATACTTTAGCCAAAAAAAGAAGTCCACCCGCTGAACTCTGCAAGGGTGAGGTGCTTATATCCAATAGTCTTTTTTTTTTTTGTAATTACCCCGCTATTAAATAAAAGAACACATGGTATTAGCATTAACCGGCCTGATTAATACTCTTCTAGTCCTATTTATAGGGTAGAGATAGAATGTATTTTTTGGTCTTATTTATAAGACACTGAGAGAAATTTTTTATATAGATGTAAAATTTTATCCCTTATTTATTATTATGTTGACTTTGTTTATATGAAGTATAACGCATATTAAATAGAGATAAAGTTGAAAAATCATTAAATTTTAAATGAGAGTTAATGAAATTTAAACCTTTAATTTGTGTGAAACATGCTGGAAGTACCTTATAAATAGGATTAGAGGATTATCTAATTTTATTTATGAGGCATTTATTGCGTATTTTACCGAAAATGAGTAAAACCTTCAATTCTTTTAATACTGTTTTAAAGTATGATAACTTCTTGGTTTGTTACCATGAATAATAAATGGTTGTACCCTCAAATAAATAAAAAATATTATCCCTATGTTGTGAATAGGTTAGAGTAGTGGTTAATATTTGTAAGGAAAGGCTAGAGGTCGAGGGTGACGCGTGTCAAAAACAAAATTTCGAGGGTGGCGATAACCTGTCGAGAGTTAATGCATGGGAGGGAGGATGGTGAAACAGTTGCTCGTTTAGTGTGACGATAACCTATCGAGAATTAATGCAAGGGGGGAGGATAAACAAACCGTTGCTCATTTATGCTCTGTCTGGTTCAAAAAAAAAAAAAAGAGGCTTGCAATGGAAGGGATTTTTCATCGGCAAAAGAGATAGGAAAGAAATTAAATACAAGGCCTGAGTTCTTTTTAAATAGTAGCTCAATAACTGTCTCCACCAAAAGTGGTTGGCAGTTGGCACAAATCTTCAGCCCTCCCATGCTAAAAGCAGATTGACCCATTTGCCCATGAAAACTCGATTATCAAATATGTCTGGTGGCTGGCCGAAAAGGATCATGGAACACTTACCGATGACTTTCTCAAGCGCAAGGTGAAGCTTGAGCGCCACATCAACTTTTTTGCGAGTGTGGCCTTTCGAGACAATGAACAATAACTATATACATGCAGATATAATGACAATATTCATGCACACACATATGGGTTCCTTCGATATTATCATTAACCGGCAACGTCAAATTCGAATTTTAACCTGAGCATATATTGTATGGGAAATCAAAAGTAAAGAAGATAAGGGAATGCACAGCATCATGTATATAAATTTTACTCTTTTTTTATATATACATATTTGCGTTGTAAATTAATCCTTCCTTAGTGAGTGATAAATGATTAGATCCGTGCAAAAAACATTGAACCCGATCCATCACAGCCCTTTGTTTTGTTCCCCACACATTTAATTATTGTTTGATTCGGTTTGTCTGTTTAGTCATGATTGCGGCTGTAATGACTATATCCATATATAAATATATCAAAGACAAATAGAGTACGACAGAGTATAGTAGAACTGGAATTTCGTGTGAGAGTTGGGAATATAGTACAAGAAATTTGATTTTTGGTGGAACAAATTTGAAATTGATGGACCAAATTCGAATTTTCTTGCCTTTTTTTCTGAGAATATTTATATTATTTTTTATTTTTGAATTGAGTTTTTTTAATATATTTTATTTTTACTTTGTTATTTAATTTTTATCTATTTTGTAATCATTTAATATGTACAGTAAATTTTTTTATTTATATTAAATATTCATATTGATCAATTTATTTAAATTATAATTAATTGAATTTTTAAATATATTATTTTTTATTTAATAATATTATATTCTTTCATCAAGGTAATATGGTAAAATAGTTTAATTTTTTCACTTCTTTTCATCTAACCGAATATAAATTTTTTATTGAACTCATGTTTAATTTTAGTGTGGACTGAATATTCAGTCGGATGAAAATTTTTCACTCTCCTTTTTCAATTTATTTATTTATTTTTATTTTAATCAATTTTTTGAACCAAACGGGCCGCTAGTGTGATGGGTTGGAACTGCCCCACTCTATCCATATAGGGACACGTCTCATTAAAGTTGGGGGGTCCAGATGGCATCCCACTTTGTCGTTATATTCCATCCCCAGGTCCAAAAGTAAACGGTCTGGATTTAATACTTTAATAACTTTTGTTAAAATATTTTATCAAGTATTTTTTTTTTAATTTTTTTATGCCGCAGCTGTAAATTGTCTAGGTCAATTTTTTAATAAAAATTTTAATGGAAAGCTCCCCCTCCCCCCCCCCAAATTTTTTTTCAGATTTTCAGATAAATTTTAAATTTAAGTAAACTTTTAGATGAGCGTAACAAATATCTGAACAACATCTGCTTTCATTGATTCACCGGAAAAGACTTTTTAGACGTCAAAAGCCTTTGTTTTGAATATTTAATGGTTTTATATGTATATATACCAAATACTAACAGTTCTTTCCCCCCAACCATATACTAATAATTAAAGGGTTAAACCAACATACAGGGGCAAGCTGTCGTACGATCAACCATATGAAAGCTATCAACATTTAAATAAGGAAGTCAAAACCGACACTTTAGATAAGGACCAGAGCGATGATATTTCAGCATCCCGGAGTTTTAGAATACCAGGTGGTTTTCCCCACTCCAAATGCTGACCAAGTCCTTATAATTAATAGCGTTTCCACTTTTCAGAGCATCCCAGACTGACACTTCTGCGGTCAATCAACCCAAATCACTTAATCTGGTTGAGAAAAAAATTCTGGAAAGCAAGCTAACTTGGCCTGCCGTATCTTATTAACGAGGTTTGGTGGTGAGATCAAAGTAATACATCCTAGGTCTGATTAGAATGATTTATAAACAAGTTTTTTAACCATGTTTTACAAAATATGATAGTAATATATGAGAGGAATTTTGTTTTAGTTTGTGTGTATGTGTTTATAAGTAATTCTGAACATTATTATAAACGAGGCTTCCGACCATCTACGATAGTCATTAAACCTGGGTTAAGCTTCTTTAATTAGTATGTTTTTTCTTTTGAGTTTTCTTTTGCCTCGACTAATCCACGACATCAGGAAAAAGAAAAAAAAATTACTTCACGCGCCAAGTCCTGTGCACGTCAAAAAGACACATGATTCACAGTTTTTAATCTCGTCTTTATCTGCCGTTCGATCATTGAATTTTGTTTTTATGTGTATACCTAGAGAAGCTCTAAATCACATTGAATTTAAAATTAATCTCTATCAAATCAAGAGCTTTAAAATTAACTGCTATTTAATCAATAAATCTTGATTTAAAACTATTCGATTTTATAATCTCTCAACCCAATAAACTATAATACCTTCATCAAAGTCTGAGAATTAAATCAATAATTAAGAAAAAATATGAAAACCAATTCAAATGTATATTTTTATATATCACTACACAGCAAGTGTTTCTTTTAAAGTAAAACTAGTTAGTTAATAAGTTAGCACATATAGCCTCTTCCATTACCGTAATTAGCAAACCTTATTTGTTATCGCTTTGTACACTAATACGAAGTATCTCTTTTAATTAAAAAACAATAAAGTGTTTTCACATTAATTATGAAAAAAGCTTATTCATTTGACAAATCGAGGGTCCATGTAGGTACCAACCAAGGACCCGTTTAAAATAATTTATAAGTTTTTTTTAATTATGATTTGCGAAATACGAGTTAAGTATATAAGACAAGTTTTGTTTCTCTGTTTACATGAAACAAGTTTATAAAAACTTATTTAAGCCAGTCCAAATAAACACTAACTAGAAGAAATAGTATCAACGCATAATTTAGATTAATTTTGACAGAGGTCTTAGAATAATTAGTTTTTGAACTCCATAGGATTCTCTATCCTTCTCGTTTTGGATTTCCTTGTTATTAGCATCTTTAACAGTTCCCATTTTTTGTTAGCTTGTTTATAAGGGCTATTAATGCCCTCATCAAAATATTTATATCAGGCTCATCAGCAAACATTTGGTCCTAAAAAAACAAAGACCAGCAGAGAAGCCGTTCTCTATGGCCGCGGCACTCCTTAAAGAATAGACGATTTTATTGCCTTCTGGTTCTCCTTGATCGTGATCACGCAAAGGGGAGGAAACAAACTCAAACAAGTGAGTCCAAAAAAAAAAAAAAACTCAAACAAGTGAAATTAATTTAAAGATTCAGAATAGTACGCTCACAAGTACATATTAATTAATTAGCACATTTAATACACACACATATATATGGGGAGGAAACAAACTCAAACAAGTGAAATTAATTTAAAGATTCAGCAATTACTACAGAACAGAACACTCACAAGTACATATTAATTAATGAGCACGTATAATATATATACGTACACATGTATGGGGAGAAAACGTAGAGGGAGCTAATTAAATGATCATTTCTTGTAGAAAAGCTTCATCAGATCTTTCATCCCAGAAGGGAGTGACATGCTGGCCTTCCCATTATTAAATCCTCCCTCAATCACAAAGTTCAAACCATTCACTGACTTGGATTCATCGCTGCTCAAAAAGAGCGCCGCGTTCCCTACCTCTTCAGGGTCCATAAGAACCATCCCCTTCGACATCACCATGCCCACCATTTTCTCCGTCAACCTGCTGTCCATCTTCATCGAATTGCTCGCGAACGGAGTCAAAACGGCGCCCGGAGAGATGCAGTTCACTCTTATTCCGTATGGCCCCAGCTCCGCGCTTAGATTCTTCATAAGCCCAACAACGGCGTGCTTCGACGCTGCGTAAGCATGAGGTGCCTCTCCGGCCACCACCGAAGCTATGCTCGCCGTGAAGAGAATGATTCCCGCTTTTGCTGGGATCATCACTCTCGCCGCATGCTTCGCCCCCAGGAAAGCCCCGTACACGTTAACTTCGAAAACCCTTCTGAAGGTTTCGTTGCTGCAGCCTTGTATTGTGAGATCCAAGTCGCCCAGGATGCCGGCGTTACTGTACATGATGTCGAGCTTGCCGTACCTGGACACCGCTGTGTCAACGGCGTTTTTGACGTCGGAATCACTCGTGACGTCGCAGTGTACATAGGAGACGGTATCGTTTGTGCCCAGCGCTTTGCAGAGGGATTGCCCGCGGCTGTCTTTGATGTCAGCGACAATCACTTTAGCGCCGTTTTGGACAAAGAGCTTGGCAGTGGCGGCGCCGATGCCGCTGGCGCCTCCGGTGATTATGGCCACTTTTCCTTGGAGCCTATGGGGCAAATATGAATACGGTTATTGGTTAGACGATCCAGTGTATGTAAACTAGAAAGACGTAAGAGAGAAAAAGTTTAGAGCGTCACCTTTCGGGAATGGAAGCCGTGGAAGAGGATCGTTTATCCATGGAATGAAGGTGATGAAATTTTGCGTATATCAAAAAAGCAACGTTTTGTTGTAGAAAGCCGAGAGACGAGAGGGCTTTTATAGAGCGAAGCGAAGAGGAGTGAGGTTTTCTAATCACATGTATATTATGTTTTTTATATGAATTTAATAGTTTGATGATAATATTTTAAAAATAATTCACATATTAAATTTGACTGAAAAATTTAACATAACAAAGATAAAGAACTTGATATAAGTGTTGTGCGGATACACGTATATAACCTCTTTTTTAAAATATACTGCTTCCAATTTTAATTATAAGAGATAGTTGACTAATTTGAAAATATTAAAAAAATAAGTTAAGTTAGTTATTTGTAATGAACAAGTATTATCTTTCCTAAAATATCCTTGCTAGTTAAGTTTATTAGCTATGACTATCATTATTAAAAAGATTTCATTAAAAAAATATATAAATATAGAAGACAAAATGGATTGGGGTGTTATATTTAAAACCAAAATAAAAGTCAAACGAAGTCTTATATTAAGGACCGGATATAAGTATATTGTATATAAGGGTATAATTAAGAAAGTTATTAAAAAAAACTAGATTATAAGGAGGTTGGATGAATTATTAAGATATTTTTAATTAAAAAGAATATTCAGAGGGCTCCTTCAATCTTGTGTATTAGAGAATCTAGATAGCTTATATAGCTTCTCTTATTCTTAAATATAAGAAACTAATTACTCACATACATTGAAAGTGTTTTTTCAATGCAAGCTGGCAAAAATTTAAAAACAAAAAAAATTCCATGCCCTTCATTAAACGTAAATTGACTTCGTAAGCGTCATTAACTAGTGGCATTTGATAAAATTAAAAATTTATTGGGCCAAAAAGTTACACTTCGCGAACATACTTACAAAGAGTACGTAAATGCTTTCATTTTTCTTCATAACTGGCGTAGTTATTTGTCAATTGTATATAACATTAGAAGGAATATTTTACATGATTAATTATAACTAATAAAAGGTAAATTATACAAAAATAGTTAATACTACCTCTACTTTAAGCATAAGGCGTTTTTAAAATAAAAATTGACCGTTATATTGGCAGTTAAAATTTAGTTTTAAAAATTTTATTTTGTCTATTATTTATTGTTACTCCTCTGGTCTTATTTATAGGACAGACAGAGAAGGTATTTTTTGGTTCTATTTATAGAGTACTGAAAGAAATTTTTTGTATGAATGTATCATTTTACCCCTCATTTATTATTGTTTTGAATTTGTTTTTATGAGGTATAATGTACATTAAATAGAAATAAAGTTAAAAAGTTATTAAATTTTAAATGAGAGTTAATGAAGTTTAAAGTTTTTTTTTCTGTATGAAATATACTGAAAGTGTCTTATAAATTATATTAGAGGAGTAATTATTTTTTTCAAACTAAAAGTATTTGCTGCCATTAATAATAACTAATTCTTTCTTATCATAAACTTTCTGAAGTGATTTTGACGTTGACTACGAAATCCTTTTGATACGCAGTGCTAAGAATCAAACTCCATGCTAGGGGTTTAGGAAACTCCACTAACTGGCAGCTATGTAGAGCTCGCGGTTTTATGGTTAACCATAGTTGGTGGCAAAAAAAAAAAACGTTTCTCTAGATCATGTAAAATTCTTACTCCATCATTATTTTTCAAAAAAAAAAGAAACTTGAATGAAAACCAGCAGCGGGATGCTGTGATTGTCCAGCTCCGTAAGGAGATGGCAGACAATTACAGCCACCCACTGAATCACTGATCTTAAAAGTTGCAAATCTATCCGTCAAAGTCAGGCAGTGACCGACGACGTAGTTTCAGGAATCGACAAGTTCGGACCCCCTTCCTCCGCAAAATTAAATGCTACATCTATTTTTTAATATAAGGTATTATTTAATTTTTATTTTAATTCTAAATATAATATCAGAATTTATTTTATTTTTTTATATTTATTTATTTTTAAAATAGTTCTTGTAATAACGATAATTCTAACCAATATACTTAATTAATAAAGATATTTTAAAAAAGATAATAATTATTTATTATAAATAATTAACTAAATTTATTTTTTTAATTTACTTAAATTAGTCAACTGACTCTTATATTTAGGACTAAAAGTATTATATAACGTGCGGATCATGAAGTGGCCACTTCATATTGGTACTCCTTGTAGCACTGAGTCCTAACTCAAGGCCCCGAATAATAATGATTAATTTGTGCATGTGTGAGAAATTATTTTGGAAAAATTAGGGATAATTATCCCATTGAGAAATTAATTGGTAAATAGGACCTAGAAAGATCAGTTGCACATCACGAAAGATCAGTTGCATGCATACGAAAAATCAGCTGCACGCACATGGAAAATTAGTTGCACACACATAGAAGATTAATTGCACAAAAACGGAAGATCACTAGCACAAAAACGGAAGTTCACTTGCACAAAATCCTTAGATCCCATTTGCTAATTAATTTCTCAATAGGGTATTTATCTCCAATTTTTCCAATCATTTTTTCTTCAATTGATTCATTTTCTAACTAGATTTATATAATTGGCTGGGGACAAATTTATTTGTGTATGTTACAAGTAGTTTGAAATGAGTAACACTGATCATAGCTTACAATGATGCATTTTGTTATGAATTGCAATCTATGTTAGATGTACACTAGGATTGCGTTTGATAGAAAGCACTGAAAATGAGGGATTGAAATTGCAATTAAAAAATTTTATTAAAAAAGTATTTAATACTACCTCCAGTCATAATTATAAGAGCCAGTTGGCTAATTTGAGAAGATTAATGAAGTAAGTTGAGTTAGTTATCTGTCCTAAATATGTGTTTTCTTTCATAAAATATCCTTGCTAATCAAGTGTATTGACTAGAACTATCATTGTTAGAAAGGCTACTTTGATATAAATTAATTACGTGTGCGTGTTAAACTCTGTACATCGTCATTAAATTGGAATCAGCTTGGACATCAAAGTCGTTAGGAGTTCAGGGCGACGATATGCCACTTGAATGGGTGTCAATTCTAATTCGAATCCACTCGCTGACCACGACGTATTTCTATTAAGCGACGCTTCCGCTGACCATGGAAATGACCGTTCCCACAGTGGAATGGAATGGGCAGGCCAAAAACAGACTGTGCTTGCCAAACAAACAAGCTCAAGGAATCATATTTCATTTCCACCTAAACAGTGACATTTTCTGTACCAAACAAATTTTCAATTCTTGCCTAGCTTTCTGTACTCTAGAAGGAAACAGGCGGAACCTAATGATATAAGTTATTTTAACTAATTTATCAGAAAAAAATTAACTCATTTAATCTGTTTCGAATTGATTTTTTTTTTTCAATTTCATCTATATTAAATGAGAAATAAAAATATAAAGAGTTACGTTTTAACTAATTCTGGCATATGCAGGCTTCATCTTTTAGAAGTAACAATAAGCACTTGGAAACTATCCGTACACTTCACTATATAATTAGATGCAGAACAGAGGAAACACCTTATTAATATTAATAGAGAAAAACAGGAATAGTGGATCAATGTCTGCCGATCTGGGGAAAAGCTAGCTAGCCACATCACTAGTGGCGTCAGATGTATTGATTTCATGTGGCCGGAGAAGTGAATGCCGCGTCATCCTTGGCTTACATTACTTCTGCTGTGATGCCCGTGCTGAATTTGAAACCTCCTATCTTAGCAAAAAAATCAATGGCTTTATATGTTCCTCTGTTTCATTATATAGGTTTCTTAAGCTTAAGCAAACCGGGTTTGTGTGCCATTTTGATTGAAAGGACGGAATTGGTTAAGGGTTACATTTACAGGCATGAGCTGCCCATTGCACTGCAGTACCTAAAGGGGTCGTTATCGGTGAAAGATGGAGATATTAATGGCGTCGTAAGTCTTCTCCGACCAACCACTTGGACTTCAGCTGTTCAGCACAAAGCATCCTTGTCCGCCCACCTCGCTCCAATTTACGCTCAATCTCGCCTTCCCTGCTTCTGAACTATTTATCTTTCAAATGGACGCCCTTCCTGTTCACGTTTTATTTTCCTGTCATCTTTTATATCTTCTATATTTTTACTATACACAGTAAATGACGTGGCAAAACTCCATCCTTGGACGTTAACTAGCTGTCCCTTCCCTCGCCTTTCATGACTATCTTGCTGGGCTGGACTAAGAAGACAGATAATGGAACTGAAAATTGAGCTCTCCCATCAGTACAGGAGGTAGTAGGATTTTGAATTACAGTATTATTTTTCCACCTTTCATGAATTACAATGTACCTTTTTTGACCAGATGAATTACAATATACCTACTCTCTCCCACCTCTTCCTCCCTCCATCTGTCTATCTTAATGGGGCGAGAATTCGACTTCAGGCGCTTCTGTTTTTTTGTCTCTTCCTCCATCCATCGAAATTCAGAAAGAAGGGTAGCAAATCGGTGAGTGCTTGTCAAAAGTTTAAAATGATATTATAATGATGTGGCAAAACCCCATCCTTGGATGTTAAATAAATTGCACTGAATGGTAGAAATTGATATATTTTTCTTCTCAAGGACCATCTTATTTTTGTGTGGAGTCACATGATTAGAAGGGATACTCATTCTACTCCAATTTTCTGTTGTTATTATACCTAGAATTTCATTTCAAATTTATTGGTGATAACAGAAAGTGATCAAATGATTCACCAGAATAAATTATGATTGGGAAGGAAATGGTAGAATGGGATCACAAGAGCAGAAACAAAATGCATGCATGTGGCCACGATGCTCATGTGACGATGCTGCTGGGAGCTGCAAAACTACTCCGTAGCAGGCGACACTTATTGAAGGTCCGTGTTCATATGAGCACTTTCATCCACGACGTCCAAGCTATTTTTGCCCTGCTTGTTTGTCCACAAATACCAACTGGCACTGTCGCTTCGCGACCTGGCCCCTTTACGGCTGCCTCTTCCAGATTTCTAGTCATAATTCGAGCCCAACTCGCAGGAGGCCCTATTTTAGCAGCTTCCATCGCTATACTTGCTCTCCAACTTATCGTTTCACTAGAAATTGACCCGTTAGAAGCCAAGGTACCATACTCAGTATCCATCTTGCAACTTGATTGTCCAACGGTGTGGATCCTTCTCAGTTTTTATATTTATAATTTTAATAGACCAGATTCTTGATAACTAGGCTGCTATATACCATCTAGCAAGTTCTCATAGTATTGCAGAATCCTGTTGTCAAATATAGACCATAGTTTATTGTTGGCTCATTTGAATACCGTTATAGGTAATATCGGTTGGGTTCATTAAGGGTGGAGCAGCAGAGAACGAATTGAAATGCCGGAGGAGGACCAATTTGGAGGAACTTTTCGAACGTTCACGTCAGAAACAGCAATCCTACCTTCAGCAAAGAATGCAGGAGCTATATGTATCCCATGTTATTTTCCATTCTATGCAATCACGTGTTTGTGGGTGGACGTTGGAGAGTGAAGAAGACAAAACGACACATTACTTACAGGTGATAGAGACGCAAAGTGCAGTGATGAAGGGATGCTTGGCTATGGTGGACTTCATGGAAGAAACAATGAGGCCTTATCCTCCAACCATAAACGACAGTGCTCTGTGTGAGCACGTGAAGAGAGTGGGAGAAGCTTTGCTGGGTAAGCCAAACGTGAAAGTATCTCCAACGATCATGGCAGCAGAAGACTTCGGCTTTGGGATTGATGAGGACGCTCTTCCCATTGGAGCTGCTTTCCATGCCGCTGTTGCTATCTCTCACCTTAATTCTGCGATGCAAAGTTGATGATGTCTTTCTTGATCTCCTTGGGGATATTTTCTTCATCTCCTGCCAAATTGAAGAAACCCGATCGTGTCCAGAGATGTAAACTCGCTCCGTATGTTATGCTTTACTTAAAGAACGGAAGATAGAAATCATGGCCGGCGATCTTCATGTGTCCCGCTTCAGTTCGCTGAGTCATAAATATGGTCAGGTTTTCTTTTTCAAGTGTTACATCTAAACCTGTTGGAAGGTAGTATGCTTAAGAAGACTTGAGAGGTATTGACAGATCAACAGAAATTTCAAGACGTGAATTGATGTGATTTGTGTTACTGATTTTCACACACGCACAGGTGATAGGGATGAGAGTAGAAGTTCATGGAAGAAAGAGAGAGGAGGAAAGAAGCTGTTATTGTATTGGAACCTATGATGACACCCACAAGACACCAATTGGAGCTGCTTTTTCATGTGTTTGTTTCTATCTCTTAACCCTGATCACCACTCTTTTCTCATACAGTCATTAAACGTCTTTTTAATATCTTCACATCGCCTTCCTCCGAACACCCCCTCTGTATTTCTCAGGCGGCAAAAATTTCTGCCCCTGGTATCGGGATCTCGTTTTGGAGGGGTTCCCATCCAAATGCATATTCCATTCCAATTTTCGTTTTCTCTTTTTTGCCAACTCCTATTTTTCATATTTATGAAAATAGTTAGTATGTCATAAAATTTATAGAGCCATGCTACAGCAGTGCCATATGGCTAATTGATAAAGCTTAATTTTTATATATTTTATCCCACAATAATTTAGGATTTAAATAATAATTTTGAGCTTAAATGAACTTTTTATGCATTATTGAATTAATTGGTTGATTTTTGGATTTTGCATAAAAATTGAGATTTTGGATTAAAAATGTAGATATTTTGTGATTTCCTATTTTGACTTGGAATTAATTTTTCCTATTTCTTTGAAAACAAATCTTATATTTTTAGAAAGATTATTTTTAGAAAGTTTGGCACTTTCTTGCCTAATTTTTGTGCAAATTTAATATTTAATTTTTGATTATATTTTGATATAATCTACATTAATGGATGCACCTAAATTCTCGTAGGTCAACAAAGAGCATGTATTAAATCTAACGGTGCAAGATTGTTTCTTAGAATATAAGTACAATCCAATGGTTAATATCAAGTGGGTCAATTAAGTACTAATGGGCTTGAGTTTTGTATCCAAAAAAAATTTCCTTTTCCCCCGTCAAAATAATCCTCTAGCCTACACCATATCTTCCCTCATCCATATTCACGGATTGCACCATATATATTTCGTCCTATATTAGAAAAAGATGATCCATCCGCTCTCACCATCATCAATTCACATCCTTTTCTTTCTTACTCCACGTACAATCCACATAATCATCCTCTTCTCTTCTTTACTCCTCATGGCTGCGGCATCTAATGACTTTGGAGGGAAGATAATTTTCATGGAGGTTTAAGCTTGTTAGAGAGGCAACTTGGGAGGAGCATGGAAAAGATTAGAGCCTTGAGCTAGCACTTGAAGACCACAAGGGAGTGATGTTCCATTTATCTTTTTAATTCAAGGACTTGAGATTATTTAGTTTTAGATAATTTTAAGTTGTATTTTTGTTGAGACGATTTAGTTCTAGATTGTCATCTTTATGCTTGGATTGGATTGATATTTGGATTTTTTTTGTATTGAGACACTTGTTGGAATTTATGTTTAGAACCTTTGCATTGTTAATTGAATTTATAATTGAGTTTTCATTATGAGTTTAATTATCAATGTGGTTTGAATTGCAAAATTTGGGTTCTTTTGCCTCTTAATTGTTTAATTAAGTTGGTTAATTGTCTAATCGTTTAATTGGATAATTTCAAACATAATTTCCAAAATTAATTGAGTTATTTTTCATTGGTTTTAATAAGCTTAATCAACCAACCTTATACTGTTATGAGTTCTCTAATAGTTTAAGGGTTTTTGAAATTGAGGGTTCCCTTTGTTTCAAGTAGGTAATTAAGTCTATTAATTCTACTCTCTTATCACTTCCCTTTGGTCTAATTAACTGATTAAGGTTATGAAGGTTGAATTCATGCGAATCCTGAGTTGTCCCCTCTACCTTACTTGAAGAGAACTTTTCCATTTTTACTTGTTAATTCTCTTTGCTTTCTGATTAATTTTCTTTATTAATTATTTTTATTTTCCTTCAAAAAACCCCCCAAAAATTGCATTGCATTTATTTAGTTTAATTTAATTTTCATATAGATTTTAGGACATTTACATTTTCCATTTAGGATTAGAATTTTACATTTTAGTTTAGGTCCAATTTATTGCATTTTTTTTATCACCTGAATTTTTACCTAAAGAAACCCATAAATTGCTCCTTGGAAGTAATGACCTAGGTCGATCCTAAACTACAAATCAATTAGGACCTAGTTTAATTGAGTGCTTTAACGACAGAAGGCATCATCACTAATTTCTTGGATTCCAATCCCGTATTAAGAAAAAACTTGTAACTACATATAACGCATTGAAGAGGGAAAAGAAAAGTTTATAAAAGATAAAAATCAAATATGAACTTCAAATATAATCAATTTTTTCTTATCAGCCTGTTCATTGATTTCACAAATCTATAAATATGCTTATAAAATTCTAATTTAGCACCCTATCAAAAAAGAGTTGGCAAGATGCTCGGGCGAGAATCCCAACTGCTGCTGCAGCGAACATGTCGAGTATTATTAGTTTCGCTGGAACCCTTGTGGCTTGTGCCTCGCGGCACAAACTGCAGATTTCTAAGATTCCTTCTTTTCTTTTTTTTTCAAAATTTTTTTGACCCGATAGATTACTGAGAATTTATGCCGTTTATTTAATGTCCAAGTTGATTTTTGTTTAAGGATGCCGGTACCTAGTGATCTTCTCAATAATAACGTCTATGCTCAAGATAATTCTTGCAGCGATGAAAAGCCTTGCTGAGTATCTGTAACTCAGTCAAACTCTCGCAATGGGAGTCTTTTCTTGATGAGCTTCGACTGAAAAGCGGCGAAAATGGGAATTTAATATGACGAGGATAATGAAATTTCGGATGAAGAGACTCGTACACGTGATGCTGAAGGCCTCCCGATTTTTTTACGATGGCAATTTATAGCGGATCAATTTAACAGTGGAACTGCAAGCCAATTAACGTCCAAAATCGACCACATCTTGCCGTATACTAAAAAGAAAAAGCACAGAAACAATCATGAGACATAGGATACATTTCATGCTTTACCAAATGAGGTGAAGTTATCTCCGACTCCGAATAATGTTCCCCTTCAATGTGCAGTCATGGAATGCCTTATTCACAACTATGAGAAGACACTAGTTCAGTCATTCTTCAGTTGAAGCATCAATGACCGCATTGCACAAGAGGCAGATTCCATACACTGGGGAGTCGATTCTGCAAAATGGCAAGTCCTAGACTTCTTGACATATTTCCAAATGGTTACGAGTCATAGATGATCTAGTGGGTGAGAAACTGAGACAGTATTCTCATTAAAATTGAAAAGAAAGCATCCTGAGAAACATACTCAGCATAAATTACAGGAGAAACTCGACAGTTGGAATATGTTCTGAACTCTACAAACGAAACAATATCCAAGCAGCGACTGCTACAATTTTAGTACCCACGGGCTAGCCAAAAAGACAAGTTACGAGGAGGAAAGCATTTTTTACGCTGGCCTTTACCTAGCAGGCCTATGATTTCGTCCTGCATTTTTGCCAGACATCACAACAGAATGCATGGGATTGGCAAGCAGACCTTTGTAAAAAGTTATGCGCGTTTCTCACCGTTTGGGCTTCCTCACATTTTGGCCCTCGCCCCTCACTTCTGATAACCTTGATTTGATACCATTGACTGGCATTATTGGCGGTCTCTCCAAGAAGGCATTTGTCGGATCTCGTGATGGCCAAGGCTGTACAGATTGCCTGGTTGGACTTGCATAAGCTCTAGAGGATGCGGGCCTGGATCCAGCCAAAATCTGATCTCTCAGCCCTTTAACCGATTTATGGCCTTGTATTTCATCATCGTAACCTTTCCCTTGAGCTTGCTTCTCCAATTCAGAGAAGCCTTCCCAATCTATTCCATCTCCAAAATTTTGAAGCTTCTCAGCCTGGGCCCCCCATTCCACTCCATCTGATATGCTCCTTTGAAGAGACATGCTTTTCCGAGAAGCTTTCCCAGAGGTAGACCTCCTCCCTTTAACTTCTTCATCAATAGAATATCTTCTAGCATCAAACCTGCTTTCAGAGGGGTAATTCCATTTGTGGCTTTTGTGGTTGTCCATATTTAACTCAATAGAATGCATATCACTTTCAGCTGAGTCTTCTTTGTATTCTACTCCATCATCTACCTCTCCTCCGTCATCCTCTTTATCTTCATTATGATGGTAATCAAACCGAGTTTTACCCAGATAGAAAGCAAGTTCTTCGTCATTCAAGTGAGTGGAACTGCGTCCTTTTTCTCTAACTTGTTTGTTTCCCATAAAAGCCTCTAGTTGATTCCTGAGCTTATTGACAGCTGCATTCTTTTCCTGAAGCTGATATTTTGCTTCAGAAAGTTTTGCTTGAGCTCTCTCCTCACGTAACATATCTGCTAACTGCAATATTTCTTGTTCCTTTTCTACCTCTTCACACACTTTCGCAGAGTCTATTTTATCTGACTCAGATCTATCTTCACTGACATCCCTTGCCAGCTCATCACATGCTTGTTCAAAAATTTCCCTCGCTCTCTTCTCACTCTCAAGTTGTTTCACCACTTTAAGCAGCGATGCTTTTGTCTCAGCCATCTCTCTTCCTAGCTTTTTGTTCAAGCTTTCAAACCGTCTCCTTAGTTTTCTTTCTACATCGAGTTCCCCAGCAACAGATTCAATTGCAGCTTCAATAATTTCTTTCTCCTTGCTTTTCCACGCTGCCTTTTCCTCAGCAAAGCACTTCATCAAATAATTTAACTCATTTTTATCTGAGCGCTGTTCCTGGATAAGCTGATTGACCTGCAGGCGAGCCCTCTCCAGCTCAGTGTGTAGAGCAGAGATCAGAGACATACTAGAGGAAGGGCGATCTTCATGACCCCACATGCGGTTTATAATTTTAAGAAGTTCTTTTGACGTTGTTAAAGCATTACTAACATCTTTCAAACGTGTCTTAACTCCAATAGTAGATGAAGTAGGTGTCTGTGCACGAGATCTGGTTTCCACCTGTGGAAAAAGCAAAACATGAGTCTTCTCTCTTTTCTTTTCTTTTTTTTAATCACAAGTCTGAATTATGAAAATCTGACTCAATTTGAGCCGGGCACTTTATATGCAATTGCGTGTTACTCTACTCATACATGTCCGGTTGTTTTAAGCCAGAGTTGGGAATTGATTTCAAAATAGCATTAACAGAAGAAAACGAATATCAAATCTCCTATTTCAAGCAACAGAAAAAAATTAGAATTCGGTCACAATGGGACAGATACAGAACTTATCTGAAATGTTCTCATTCACTTCAAAAGAGTATCGTGGAAGCAAATTCCATGCAGCAAAGAGCTGCATGAATCACAGATTTTCTGTACTTTTTAAACAAGTCCATGGAACTGTTAAGCAGAATAATTATATAGATAGGAAGGATAAGGGTGATAAGGGCATTGATCCACAAGGGAACCTACTTGAATGTACACTTTCATTGCCATGACCTGAGGATTTGTCGATCAGTAACCCAGGAAAACAATTAAGCCGTTCAACTCACTTCACTGAAGTAAGGTTGTGTTATATATGCGGCTATATTAGATACGAACATACAGAATCAATTATAAGTGCAGTTAAATGTCTCAACTGCTCGTTTTTATTATGTCAGTATTACACTTAACGATATGGAACATGCTTTTCAAACATTGAATACCCATTTTTCTTGGGGAAACCCAAAAACTTCTTTTGAACATGCGAATCCAAATCACCTGCATTAAGCAAGCAGTGATTTTCAATCCTAGAAATGGAGAATAACTTGTGACTAGCATGTCTAATGATAAGTATAGAATGCATGGAAAAGGATGGGTCGAGAGAATGAAAGAAAGAAAAGCTGGAGGCTTCCAGAACTATATAAATCTTCGCAGTACCTACCTCCATAAGACTGGCATTACTAAGAGAATCTAGTGGACCAACTTGATGGTCCGTGAGCCTCAGCCTCTGAGAAATGGATGGAGTTCTTCTATGGCGACTACCTGTTCCGGATCTATCCATCCTCTACAAGAAGATAATAAAACTTCGTAAGAAAAGAAAAATAAACGGTACGATTAACATCAATATGAACACCGTAGCAGTAGCTTCATGCCTCAGATAGGTCAATTTTGAAATTATAGGAACATAACATTCCAGATTGTATTATATTGAACACAGTATATATATATAGGGTCCAGACATAGATAAAACTCAACAAAACTCAGTATATCAGCCATCTACAATATTGCCAATTAGCCACTAGACAACAGCTGACCATAGACAATCAAGAGGAACATAAAACGAAAGAAAAATAGGGATAGAAATCAATTCTCATTCAAAATTTATGGGAATATAATATTGAAACTGGTTCCGGATTCCTTCTAAATCGGAAAAAGACTATGAAACGAACGAAATGCGATTTGAAAAGCAAAAACGTTCACCTCTGATACGGGACTATGCGATGGATCCGATAAATGGGGAGGCAACGAACCAGAATGTATCGACCTTGCCGCCAATTTTTCCCTTGCTCTCAACTCTTTCTTCAACCTTCTATCATCAGATACTTGTCTAACGCTCGGGGAAGGAATCTCATTCATCTCCCACAGCGTGGCAGCAAGCTTCCTCGCTGACACTGGAGCTTGTTTGGCCTTGCTACCTGTCTGGGATGGTGGGTACTTAGGGGACTCCAGGGCCCGCATTGCTGACGCGGGAGATCTTGAGTTCATCAGTTTCCATGTGGGCACTGGTGTACTTGATCCACCCCTCTTGCGGACAAGAATGGCCCTTTTGAATCTGTAGTTTTGGAGCACAGAGGAGGTAGATGATGCCGATGAGGAGCAACCTCGTTTTCTGATCTTCCCAGGAACCAAATCCATGCTTCGAATTTGCCTCGGCATCAGGAAACCGCAATGCTCAGATCACTAAGAATCTGAGAGAAGGAAAACTCGGCATGAGAATTTAGGCGCCCAGATCAAAGCATTTTTTGCTTCAGCGTGAAAGACATGAAAAACAGAGAAGGGAAAAAGACGAGTAATTTGATTACCATGCGTTTCACAACTTCGAATCCGAGAAGACAGGGGAGAACTATCCAACGATTCAGCCTCCTCTTTTTCAGTTTCTCGCTCCAATGCTGCCTGACTTGAACTGTAAATCAATCGCGGCGACAGAATTTTACCATGACACCGAAGGTGGTAAAAGTCGGTGGTGTCGACAAATTCAAATCGCGCGATCAATACCAAAGTACTTCAACTTCAGTGTGAAGTGCGCTTTTTCAGGGACAGAGAATAATAGTTTACACTGGGAATGAACAAAATCTGTCTGGTTTTTAACTCTGACAGCACATTGCTGAATCGAGCTCCAAGGAAAGAGGAAAAAAACGGAAAATAAAAAAAGACGAAGAAAGAAGCAGAGAGATGAAATGAAGCGAAGGGAATGGCGCAGCAAGAACCCAAACCCTAAAGAAAAAGACTTGTGAATAAGAGGGCTTTTGATGGCTTCCACCACCGCTGCTAGATTCGATCAGAACAACAGGTTGTGTAGTAAACTTGGAAGGGCAAAAAGCGAAAGCGAAAGAGGGAAGGGAGGACCAATCAGAGACGAACCGTCCCAGGGAGCGGGGACACGTGTAATCATATTAACTGTCGGATGAAATGACGACAAAATCAAATGGCTGTAATGGATGAGGAATGGAATCAGAAATGTGTAGAGGAAGGAAAGATAAAGTTGGGTGGGGGGCATGGAGGAGGGAGAAGACTGTGGGAAGAGGGAAAATTCGGTGGATGGTATTATAACGACAATAAATACTGCTGCTTTTGGCGTCTCCTTTTATAATAAAATGACGACAACTCTGACTTTGACCTTTCAGAAAACCCCAATCGGGGAAGAAAGCGACTGGGGATAACTCAAGTTAAAAACAAATAAGCCATTTTTTTTAAAAAAAGTATAGATTATGGCTCGCATACCATTTTGTGAATTTCAGGCAAAAAAATAATAATAAATTTTACATGTCAGCTTCACTAGTTTTTGTTCCTCAAAATCCTTGCCCCCAAATAGGATGGAGTTCAATGATTTGGCAATTTTTGCTATCGGCAGAACAAAATCTGAACAGAGTCAATACGAAATGATGAGGACCTCCTCATTCTGGAGAAACCGGAATTGTTCAGAACCAAAAATCCATAATTTACTTTATCTAGCTGATGAAAATCACATCCTACCAAACTCTCTTGTGCAGTTTATTTAGTTCATTTAAGTTCCTGCAACCAAGTTTATCCCATCAAATTGGAAATATGTAGAATGCTACAAAAGGAAATTGTAAGACGTGAAATATATATATTTTAAAAAGGATTATGTTAATATGTATTGTTGAATTAAACATTTGCATTCATAGGTTATACCCTGAGTCTAAATTGAGCTAAAGTTCTGTACCTTTTTTCGGGGCTACCTCTTCAACTAATGACTGCTTTGTCTCGGAGCTCATAATGATTTCATTTGTATTTCATACTCTAAAAAGCGGGGAAAAGACAAAGCAGAAAAAGCAGATTTGATTGAAAGCGAACAGGAACTCATGTCTTGTTTTGTCTTACTTTTGCTTTTGGCTCTCTTCCGTATACTCCCACTCATCAATCTTTCATCTTCGAGTTCTGATAGAAGCCCCTCTGCTCACTTGTTACCTCTTGGACTTTTCCAACGAACACAACAAAGCGAGACATGATGGATGATCATTCGAGAACTGAAAGAGTGCTGTTGAATCACATTAGAGGTTGAATTATATATTAATTAAGCAAGTTGCAACGTTAATGCTTATTCGATTCTCAAATATATTCCCTGTTTCTGAAAGCTCCATGTCTTTTTAGTTACCTTCTTTGACCAATGTCGAATTTTGTACTTCTGTGACGTGCATAATGACAGAAAATTTACTTGAAAAAATAGACCAGATTGAAGAGGAATTAAGCTTGAGAAAATAGCAGCTCATCAGCAACTTCTTAGCGTTTTATTTACTGTTAAATAGTCAATAAGTCCACCAAGTTGCAGCTTGTTCCACTTTTCCTTGAAAGGTGAAGCCATTTATGAACATTTTCTTAAAAAGGATCTTTTGCTTGACAATGCCATTTCGCTGGCAGTTCCCAATTATATTCTATGGCTTCCATTGTTACATGTGCTGCGTTTGAGCTTCACTTTGTGGTCATGTCATATCCAGATTCCCTGCTGCAGCTGTTGGGCCTGAGCCTCGCTCCTCGCACTCGCTCTGCTAAGCTTGCCCTTTACAAGACTAAGTTCGTCGCTCAGATTCTTGCCCTATACAAAACCTTTCGACAAAGGGACATCTCATCTCCGATGTCTATTGGGGTGGCGCCAACAACAAAGCTCCCATCTTCGTCTACGCGGGAAATGACACGAGCTTCATGTTCCAAACAGAACCCCATTTGAAGGCCCTGTTAGGCTTCATTAAGATTAGAGCATCTTCTTCTTCTTTGATTTCTCAGAAAATATGTCTTTTCTGAAAGGGAAGTCTAACACTGTGCAACGTAACCCTAGTTCCCTGGATCTCACCATATTCCTTTTGATGCTTTGCAAACTGAAATGCAGTATAGATTGTATGGAAAATCTATGCCATCCCGGGGGGAATAAAGAGGTTGCACATAGTAACAGTAGCACACTCGGATATCCGAGCTCCGCACAGGTATTGGTTTCATCCATTTTAACCTCTTCCGCTTAATATTTCTTCCTCGTAAACTTTGTATGAACGAAGTATTCCCACGGGGCCATTGGAGCCTCAGCTTCTTCTGCTGCAATCCTGCATTTCCTGGATCTGGTTTCACCATATGCCTCCACCGATGTTCCTTCCCTCACTAGAAGCAATCCAATCCATTCTGAATTATTAATTGATTTAGGTTTTGGGATCCGCAAAAGCTGCAGATAAGAACTAGCCACTCACATGACACTGTTGATTACTGCGCCAATCCCCTTTCTCGGTTTCATATGTTCATAATATCGCATATGAAGTAATCACTCACATGACGCTATTGATTATACAGCACTAATTTCTTTCCCTGGTTGGTGTAGAGCGGGAGTGAGAATTGCTAGTGGTAAAAGTGTCGGGGAGACAAATAGAGCGGCCTGTAATTCCCGCAGAAAGCATTTGGAATATCCTACCTCGCATATTTAACTAATTTAAATAAATTAAAAGAATTAGTTAAGTTAGTTATTTGTAATAAATACATATTTAACTAATTTAAATAAATTAAAAGAATTAGTTAAGTTAGTTATTTGTAATAAATATGTGTTTTCTTTTTTAAAATATCCTTACTAATCAAACGTATCGATTAAAACTATTATTATTACAAGGACAATTTTAAAAAAAAAGATAAATATAAATATAAAATACAAAATAGATTAGAATCTCATAATCAATACTAAAATAAAAAGATCTTGTATTAAAGACTGGAAGTAATAGAAATGAGAACTGGCCTGTGTTTAGTTCTTAATTTAGATGCAAAATTCACTAATATCACTTAATCGGTAACATGTTTCTGTATTTCTGTGAAGTTGGATCATGAAGGGCTTTGATGTATCCGGCGGGCACGACAGATTATCCAACGCCTTCAAATTTTCTGAATCCTTGGCGTGCTTATCCAGCAAGAAAGGTGCCGCCCACTTCGTTAAAGTTTAAAACCCAGTCTTATTTATTTATTTAACTCCCTCCCAAACGAAAACGAACGCACATTGCATTTAATCATTATCTGTCATGTGCAGATGGGGAGGCGATTGACGGCTCAGCGCATGGGAGCGTCACGTTTGCAAAGCTGTACAAAGCATTTGACATCAACTCCAATTCCCATCCTCAAACAGTTAGTTAGCTCATGTTTTATAATTGTGCCCCAGGGCTTCCTTATCTCTCTGTCTTAACGCCATTTAGTTTAGTGTGTAAATATATTCATACTCTGATGATTATAACTCTTCTCTGTAAAATGTAAGCGCGTGTTCCATCTTCCATGCAAATGTCTGCTGCGTGTGAACATTGCCAGTGATGGTGGGACGGAATCCAAGAAAAGCAGCGGTCACATGGAAAAGTTTAAAAAGAAGCCACGGAAGAGAGAGAGAGTAGTGGGTAATTAATCATGATTAGAAGGTGTAAAATGCGATTCAACTGTCGCATAGCCAACAATCGGGAATCATGGCCTTCAATGGTGGCCCACTCTGAGTCCAATGCATGGCGATGGCAACCACCATGGTTTGACCGCATTAATATGGTTTGAGGTTCACGCGCCGACTCAGACTCTTTCAGAAAAATGATGCGGTAGTTCAGGATCTTATTTGCAACTTGCTACGATCATGGAAGGATGAGAAAGATATTGGGGTGATTGATTATATGGATACGCAGGCGTGCACGGAGATGATAATGCCCACAGGTGGGAACAATATCCCCAGCCTTTGGCGGCCTTCTTAGATCTCTCATTCACCCTTTTCCACGCCTTACTCATACTAGCAACATTTCAAGCTCGCTACTGTCTCTTTCCTCCTCCCCACGTTTCCTTCCCACTAACATTCATTATTCTTTTTTATTTCGTGCCCTTTCATACACGGTGATCCCTTGTTTGCCAAACAAAAAGAAGTCGGCTTCCGGCAACCTATTGGCCCAATAAACTCTCTTCTCTCATGAGCTGAGTGGCTTCAGGCCCAAAAATATGAACCCACTGACTTCAGTAGAAGTGGCCTTAATATTGGGCCTCGTTCTTATTCCCGGTCCAGTTTATTTTGTATTCACAAAATTGTTAAACCCATCCTGCAAATTCGAATTTCTCTTTGTAAAGGGACGATGAGCCTGCCCCAAGAGCTGCGTCATTTATGCGCACCGTTTTACTTCGATGAGACGTGAGTTCCCTTCATTCAGATGCCAAGCGATGTCGTCTATGCATCTTTGGCTTCATCCCTCTTCAACTCGCAAAACAAAGGCTTTCAGATGACAGAAGATTGCCTCCATAGCTTGCTGCTCTAATATGACCGTATCCTCTCCTCCCTTGCTGCCTCTGCCTGTCCTGGACAATTCCGACGCCGAGTGCCACCTGATTGGAACTGCTTCACGGTGCTTCAAATTAAGATCACTACCGAGTGTAGATTTGAGGTTCTCCACTGCGGAAGACAGAGATCAGGGAATGGGAGGTCAGCATCATTTCAAGTTGGATCTCTCAGCATCACAGAGTTGATGCACGCAATAACGATAACAGGAAGAGACCGGCGGAAACGTTAATTGGGCCAATATTGGGCCTGAATAGTTTGGCCCACATCAAAGTTGGATTTGGACCGCTCTGTGCGCAGCTTCAGCTCTCTTATTAATCCATCTGTACGCGTCTTTTACTATCTACAGTTATTAATATACATATTAGTTTGATATTTAATTTTATTCTAAATATGAGATATCAATTTATTCTATTTTTTATATTTATCTTTTTTTTAATATAGTCTTTATA